CTTTGGTACTCTCGCAGCCTTCAGTGTGAATGCACAGTAATACCGAGTTCAGACTGCATGATTTTCAAAGTAATCGTGTCACATATGTTTTCACACTGCTTGACTATCTGGGCTAGCGTTTCGTCGCTGCTTTGTTTACACTGCAAGATGGTTCGGCAACAGGGACTTTCACATTGCATGACTTTACTATAGGAAGAATCGCCGACAACTTCGTCCAAACTATGTCTCACAGCCTAAAAAACGTAGTATATCTTTTGTTATTAACTACATGATGAGAAGGAATCCTTTAATGGAGTAGAACATGTAAATGTTTGCTCACCTGGGTTTAAAGGGAATTAGCCATTTCTCCTCAAAGTTGATAATGAACTAATTTCTTTATGTATGAAACGTCAAACAGACACGGTTGCTCCTGAGTCCTGTCAAACCTCCACTAGTTTTTCCTCCATTTCGTGGGTCCAAATAAACCGAAAAAGATCGCTTTTTACTTCTCCCCCAGCCTCCCGCTGGCCTGCAGCAGGTACACACACGCACACACAAGTGAAAGCTGCTCTCTCATTGGCTGTAGGCGATCGCTGATGGTATTTTCAGTCAAAATTCAATTCACACGGCATGATTTGAATCGCCGACAGCTCCAGATATTTAGCATGCCAAATATCTTGCTGGCATCGGCGACTCATCAGCGATTCTATCAGATCGCGTCTTTGAAGGTTCATACTGTGTGATTGTCACTCACGAGCAGCGATTTTGCCTGTGATTTCAGGCATTTGTCGGCGATTTCTCAAAACCTGTCGGCGAGCCAAAATCGGGGCTAAAATCACGCAGTCTGAACTAGGCATAAGATGTTGGTGCATTAAAGCTACTCTATATTTTTTGTCATATTTTTATTATATTATATAACCAATATTGTGTTGATATTGTTAATAATTGGCTCATAATGTCATACATTTTTATGTAGTTTTAAAACGTAATTTCCTACTATTGTTACTAAATTACTACTACAAATTAGATTTTTGTTGTCATTATTTCAGTCTTCATTTGTGATTCTGATTAATTTTGCAGAAATGGTTCTTTTTTCCAAATTTTATTTATAAAAAAAGAAAATTCAAAAGAATAGTCTTTGTTTGAAATGGCAGTACTGTGGAATATTAGGTAACACATGTACAGTTGAAGTCAGAATTATTAAACCCCCTGAATTATTAGCCCACCTGTTCATTTTTTCCCCCAATTTCTGTTTAACGAAGGGAAAAAAAATTTCGACACATTTTTAAACACAATAGTTTTAATATCTCATCTCTAATAACTGATTTATTTTATCTTTGCCATGATGACAGTAAATGATATTTGACTACATATTTTTCAAGACACTTCTATACAGCTTAAAGTGACATTTAAAGGCCTAACTAGGTTAACTAGGCAAGTTATTGTATAATGATGGTTTGTTTAGTAGATTGTCAAAAAAAAATATTTAAAGGGGCTAATAATTTTTAAAACACTTCAAGACTTTATTCAGAAGAAAAAATATTTTCAGACATACTGTGAATATTTCCTTGCTCTGAGCATCATTAGGGAAATATTTAAAAAAGATTTAACCTAATAATTCTGATTTTAACTGTAAGTATTTGCATGAGTGCCCATTTGCTGTAAACATGCAGAAATCACCTCAGTTGTGTCTTCAGTGCAAGTTCAAAATACAGAGCGGAAAAGGCAACAAACATCCCATAAGTAATCTACCCAGAAAAAGTATAACATTACATTTGACATATTTACATTTAATAACCCTAATAAACCAAACCTGATCCCTACATATTATTTAGATACAATATGCTTAGTTTAAAAATATAAAGTTATGAACACATAAATCAGGTTTCAATTATTATTATTTTTAATCATATGTAGGATTATTCTGAGTATTCTGGTATAGACATTATCTGATGTTTCAGTAGGATTTGCAGGTACACATCCTGTATGATTTTCTCCTGCACTGTTGTAGGCTCTGGAGGAAGAGTTCACCCGTAAACTCCAGGAGCAGGAAGTCTTCTTTAAGATGAGCGGAGAGTCCGAATGTCTCAATCCCAGCACCCAGAGCAGAGTCTCGAAATTCTACCCTATTCCTAGTGTGCACTCCTCCGGCTCTTAACCTCCACCACAGAGCAAGAGCTCTTCTAGTCAGGAGTCTTTTAAAGGTATGAGATCAGAATAGCTGCAGAGGTTTGAAAAGCTGATTCAAATCTCCCAGTGATGAAGGACAAACCTTATGCATTACCTTGACACAGATTTCGCCACATCAAATCCAATGGATTAACATATTAGTTTTGTTGTCTTCTGGTCATGTTCATTTGTGCTTGAGATTATAAACACAAATCAACAACGAATACACTCAGGCAATATCATCTTGTCTTTGTGGAATATTTGCGTAAAACAGCCTTAATGAGGGTCAAAGCCCATAACAAACATAAGGTCACAGATAGAGGTCACGTTTTAAAGGACAACATGACGTTCAATTGTCTTAATGTTTTGCACAGCTACTAAATTACGTTTCAGTGCCGTTAGGGTCTTGTATCAGCTGTTATATGCCCGTTTTAACGTCCATGCAAAGTTATTTTTAAAACAAAAATACTCTTTTTAGCTTTTACTATTTGCATTATGGTTGAAACCATTTGCAGTCAAGGAATGTAACCCGTATGATGACACTTTAAAACAATTTGAACATATGCAGTAGTGATCTTATTAGTGCTTTAGCAAAAAAAAATAGTGCCCAAATATTTGTATGTGATGTAATTTCTCATTTGGTCAAGTCACTTTGTGGTCCAGAGTACCGAGTTTATTTTTTATGAGCAGGTTCATTTGAAGCGGGCGGGCCTTTGCCTTGTTGAATGTTTCATATATGGCGTTTGAAGATTTATTTATGGATTGAACTGAAGGTTTTAATTGTTAGTTCTTTTTCTTGTTTCGTCAATATATGAACTCGCACGTTACATCGTTTATCCTGATTCATTTTAGTTTTTTATTATTACCGAAGAACACGTGCTTTCATAGTCAAATGTAGGGCAGCATTTGGAACAGTCCACTGCAAAAGTGTTTCCGTGGGAAGACCTAAACATTTCTCGCTGTTGCTCTCTGAGGACTTTTCATCTGATTCAAGCTCTATTTTTGATAATATGTTTCGTGCAAGAAGTCACGCATCTGTATCTTAGCCATAATATATGACATGCTGTGCTCATATACTTTTTGCATGCTGAGATAAATCCCAAATGCTGTACTTCACCAGACATAAACTCTTGGAACCGATGATGCATTTTACAAAAGGTGGTTTTAAAAGTTGCCGTTGGCACAAATAGAGACAGAGAAGTGGCCGATTATCCCAGTGTCATACTGCTGAACAGTGACCTTAACCGCCCGCAGCACTTTGGTGGAATATCTGATGCATTTTCGAGGTCAATTTATGTATCTAAATGCTTGTCCATTGATATACTGTAATAATGCTGTAAATAAAACTCATTGTATTTTCTTTGATTTGTTGGGGGTTTTATTTTCTCCAAGCTTTAACAGCAATGTAGAAGTAACTGAAACTGCAATTCATTGACTCCCCTTTAAAGACTGGCTCCAGATGTTCATTGACTGCAATGGTAAATTGGCCAATTTTACAGCTGATAAAAAACATGTTTGCAGCCTGGTACAAAAGAGGGTTTTGGTGTAAAGCTAATTTTACACTTCATGACAAATGCGAGGGTGTGATTTTTTTTTTTTAATTATTATTATTATTATTTTATTAATGAATTTATTTTTTATATAACTCATCCTTTCTCATTTTTAATAAGCTATATTAAGTCTGCATAATTAAGGGCGTGGCCACTTGAGTGACAGCTAGGTCTTTGCTGGCCATCTTTGTCACCTGAGCTGATTGCGGCTGATTAGCTGCTAAACTCTGCATATACATCAGATTTTTGTTTTGTTTTATGTGGCTTTACACAGTCACTTGCCTGGAATTATTTCCTGCAATTATCAGATGATATGGCTTGCTGTGTGCACTTTATTGTGCTCACAAACCATTCAAGTTGCCTCCATTTGCAAGGTGAGTGATATACCATATCTGTAAATGTATTTGTTAAATTTAAGATCATTTATAATTTTCTTTAGAACTTGAAATCACTCCAGAATCTGACAGATTGGTTAGCTGCAGGTTATAGAACAGTTATCTGAAGCGTTGTCATATACGACAAGTATTTAGAAAGTAATTTGCCCCCCCCCCCCCTCTTTGTGTTAGCTTTCACTTCTCATTATAATAAAGGGAGCAATTAGTTTGTTAATAAATCTCCGTTATGAATGACTCGTTTACTTAGCCGACAATAATACAAGTTTCTAGCACCCCAGGGTCTTGTCATATTTCATTTACATTGTTTGCTTATTTTATTTAACAAAACTAGCGTAAGCCTAGTATTTAGTGCGAGTTGCTGCTACTTTGCCATATGGTCAGTGCAGTAACAGACTGTATAGTATCATCCATACTTGTTGAGCACAAAAGTTCATAACATACAAAATCTAACCTGTGAAATGTTCTGTGTGCATTGTTTTATTTGTTTGATCATTATTACACCTGTAAACAGCGCTAAAGTCCAGCATGTTCAGATTGGCTTTAGTCTTGACTAGTGTGGTTGAATGACATTTGTCCTGGGAGCACTGTACAAATTTGGCGGTGCTATTAATGCATGTTCAGGGTCCGTATGGATTATCCATCCATCCATCCCTCCATCCACACACACACACATACACACACACACACACACACACACACACACACACACACACACACACACACATACACACACACACATACACATACACACACACATACATACAAACAAACAAAATGGCGACGGTCAACCGGGCATACTTGTTGCTTCATTTGCACTCTTCAGAAAACGTCAGGGATACTGCGTCCATATCTTTTAGTCTATGATTTCTCCTACCCAGTATCATATTGTGTATGTCGAAAACTTTTGTTCTCTGATGAATGGATCTTTATTTGGTACGTTTAAAACAATCTCAGCTGTTTAAGGTACATTTTTTGTTTCATAGAAAAAAAATTGTACAGTACAAAACAAAAAAAATAATAATAGTAATAATACAACTACAAAGCCCACTATTGGGTGACAAGTATACATTTTAAGTGCTACAATGAATTAAATATTATATAATGAAGACAAATAATTGTTGTCAACCTGGAAGTAGTTTTGAATGTATGGATTATTATTTTGCATGCATTTGTTTGATTATAAAACTGTATATTGTGGTAAATAAGTACCAAACAAGCCTCTAAGCTGCATTACTTCATAAAGAGAGACTAGTTTATCCATTTATCTTCTTAAAAACATGAACAATTTCTTTTATGCTGTCAGTGCATCCACAAAATTGTGCTTCAGCAAATCCTTGAGCCTTTACACGCCGTTTGCTCGTATCCATCTGCCAGTCTGGATCTCTCCTAAAAGTCAACATGGACATACATGCATATTAGAGTGATTGCTTGGTGCAGCACTGTCAAGAAAACCATGATCATTTGATGATTTTTAGTTGTTGATAAGACACAAAGCAGTGTTAAGGGATAGTTCACCCAAATGTGTGTATTTACTCACCAAACCTTTGAGTTTGCTTTTTTTTTTTTGAACACATATTTTGGAAAAAAGCTGAAAACCAGTAACCATATACAGGGTGTCCGTGCTGTCTTGAAAAGTATTCGAAGTTGATAAATCAGTTTAGAGAAATTTAAAGCCCTTAAAAACTATTAAAATGCTGCTTTACAAGCTTTTACATTTTGTGTCATTTTTGATTATACAGTGTATAGTTGTATGCTAAAGTTTGCCTAAATTTAATCTGTGAATATCGTTTACATTCTTGTGTATGAAATCGATAAAATCCTGCTAGATTTGACATTACACTGCTGTGTTTACTGCTGTAACCAAGGCAACACCGTTATTCCTGCTGTTGTTGGCACCACTGCTGAATTAGCATTTTATTCAGTACATAATTAAGTTTAGGATTCGTTTCTTACGAGTATTTAGAAAACACTATTTAAATTAAAATGTCGCTATGGTTACCGGTTAAAACCTAAAGTGGTGGTGAGGTCTTAAAATGTATGAAAAGACTCTTAAAACAGTCTTAAAAGGTATTGAATTTCACTCTCTGGTTCCTGTATAGACCCTAATTCACAGAGAAAAAAATACTGAGTAAATACTTTATAAATTTAAAATATGTTTTGTGGAAAGAGAAAGAACTCAATTGGGAAATGTGAGTAAATAATGACAATTTTCATTTTGGGTGAACTAACCCTTTAATTTCATAAACAAAAATAAGGACCATAAATGATTGTAGCTTATGGCTTGAAATAAACAGAAGTTTGACAAGTCTACTACAAACTATGAATACATGTGCTCTGATCTGCTCATCTAATGAATAAACAGCACAATATTGTTGATGAAAATGTAGTCAAAAAGATAAAAACTGACCAACATTAATCTTCAAGCTTTTTTCAATTGCGAAATAAACACTGACTTAGTAACATTATTCTATTACAAATATTGTGAACTAGGGTGTGGTCCATAAACAATGCCATCGCCGATGGCTGATATACATCACAATGCTGGGCCAGCATCGCGATCCTCCACCCCGCTCCCTTCGCAACAGAAACTCGCTTACAAAAAATACACATTTAGGCACCATTTGCAGTAATGAGTCTTAGTATTAAAATGGCATTTTACAACGGAAACGATCCACGTCCACACTGACGTTTTATCTTGCATTTCTGAAAAGATATTAGTCCACACTTTTCCACTGAAAACGCAAATCATTTGACCACACACACACACACTCTGGCATGCGCTGCAGCACATGCGCTCATCTGAGCTCCAGGCAGTCGGTGAACCCAGAGAACAGTGCACGTCAGACAGTTTATCAAGAATGTACTTCTGAATCGCATCTCAATATAGTTGTTAAACGTAATATTTAATCCATCTTGTCTCTATCTAATGGCTCTTCCATCTTTTTTTCAATATTTCACTTTCACGCTTGTACTTAGTAAATTTAGTGAAAACTTCAGAAACTGTTGGCTGGTTACTGTTGGTTGTGCACCTTTTTTACCAGCCAAGTTTGTCAATGCCATTATAACGACACCGATCACTCTGCCTATTCATGCCAGAGTCCCGCGGAAAAAGGGATTGACAGGTGGTAATTTGTGTGGAACTTCATTTATGATTTGATTATGGGTATAACAAAGACCGTGCGTGTCAGGTAGTTGAAACGGTAAGCTACAAATAATTAATAAGTTGTGAATAAATGAATTATTAATTTATTCAAAAATTATTAATTCACCGCCACAATGCCGATGCCATCGTCCATGTTTCGTCTGATGCCAAATTGGTCTACATCATCCAACCCTATTCATTCTAGAACAAACAAAACTGCAAACTGATTAACCTTTTTCACCCTTTTCTCCCCTTGGTCCCTCAGGTCCTCTTTGTCCTGGTAGGCCAGGTATCCCCGAGCTCCCTGTGTCCCCTATAGATCATACAGCAATATAAAAATGATAGCACTTGACTTTCATGTTTAATTGGTCAGTAAACTTATGTGAATGACAGTTAGTATGTTACCTTTATTTCCTTTAGGTCCTGGATATCCTCTTTCTCCTTTGGGCCCTGACCTGCCAGGGGGCCCTGGGATTGTCCCATATGCTGAAATAAAAAAATAATGTTTAGGAACAAATAATGCAACAGTGATTAAATGTAGAATCGGCATTAGTGACAAAGTGAATAGTAACTTCTAAAGAAGTCCATGAGATCAGCTGTCACGTTCCCATAGGCACCAATCACACGGCTGTACCCGGGTGGGCCAGGAGGACCAGGAGGCCCAGCGGGTCCTTGAATGCTTCCTGCTTGTGACCTCCAGTATCCCTCTGTCAGGTCCTGCAGCAGACCTTGATCTGAGGAAAAAGATTGAGATTTGCTAATTAACTCTGTGATGGACCAGCTATCCATCCAGTGTGTTTTCCTGAATAGTCTCTGAAGAATAGACACCGTAGAGGACCGGCAGTTTGATGGATTTGCCTATTATTATGGTAGTTTCATAGAAATGTTGGCTGGATTCCTATGTAGCTTACTCATTATTAGATGAACCTCTTCATCTACTCTTTAACCAAATATACTCATCTAAAGACAATCTGCTGAAGTTCAAACCTATTCTAGACTGGAAGAGTTTAGAATGTGGCATGATTATCAATTTGTGTTTTATAAACCCATTTCTAGGATTTAATGAATTATCAGAATAAGAGGAACCACTTGTTATGGTCAAAGTCTGCAGAAGAACATTCCTGAACGCAGATGAGCTAAAAGTCATTGTGTTGCTCCTGTCAGATTGAAACAAACTCAGGCTCACATGTGCTCAGTAGTATTGTGCAGTAGTAGATTTTGAATAGGTTGCCTTGTCTGGTGAGTCTCAAATCCTGCTGCAACATATGGTTCAGACTGCTGGTGGTGATGCAGCACCAGGGCAGCCATGGCCTAATGGTTAGAGAGTTGGAATTGGGATTCAAAGGTCACAGGTTTGAGTGCCATTACCGGCAGGGATTGTAGGTGGGGAAAGTGAATATCTAATACACTCTTCCATCCTGAATACCATGGCTGAGCTGAGTTCCTCAAGGAAGGCACTGAACCACCAATTGCAGCGAGTTTTGCTCACAGGTGCTTTGTTTAAAAAAAAAGTCAGCTTAAATGTAAATGGTGCAACAATGCTGGGGGTATTTTCTTTTTTAAACACAGCCAGACAGAGTATTGTTGCTGACCATGTCCATCTTTTTATGCCTTTAGTGTATTCATCTTGTGATGGCTACACCTGGCAGAATAACACGCTGCATCACAGTGCTAAAATCACTTTGGATGGGTTTCTTCAACCATGACTGAGTTCACTCCACTCAAATGTCAATAGAGGAACAGATGTGGATGTGGAGACATGTATCGTGGGTCATGATAATAACTCATTTTAAAGCAGTTGTTCCCCATTAAGCATTTTTGGTTTTTAAAAGCCATCTAAACATAGTCGTCTTGGCTAAAACAAGGCTAAATTTGGGCTGTCAGTGAAAATCTAATAGATGTCTAAGCATAGGCCAAAACTAGACTAGTCATCAAATAAAAGACCACACATATAAAGTCTGTCTATTTGACAGTTTTGGGCTATTCTTAGATGTCTATTAAATTTTCACTGAGAGCTCAAGTGAAATTTCACACAGAATTTTAAGACATTTTAACAATCGATTTGATCAAGTAGTTTTTTACCTGATGTCATATTGGGCATACGAGAATAACACATGGTTTTTTGCTCCAAGGTGAAAACCCTACTCAGTGTTTGTGCTGCAAAACTCCTCTTACTATAAAACACATTTTACTGGAATGTCCTGCTTTTACTGATTCCAGAAGATTTTTTTTTATGAAATGAACTCTTTTAGGGACATTTTTAACAAAGTGAAACCAGAAAAGATTTTAGAATTTTTATCATGTATTAACACAAAAAAATCTTATTAATTTATGTTTTATTTTGTTTGTTGATTTTTAAATTGTATATTTATTGTTGAAAGATTCCTGCCATGAAAATAGCCTTGGTTGCTGACATGGCATTAAAAAAAAAAAAATACATACATACTGAGAGCTCAAGTCTAGCCTTGTTTTAGCCAAGCTGTCAACGTTTAGATGTCTATTAAACGCTAAATTGTTTGCTGGGTCTTACAGAAGATAACTGCTGAACCTGTAACCTTAACTTTTTCTTATTTTGACTGTAATGTAGTAATAATGTGCACTTTTTAAAGCTGCTTTGGAATGAGCATTATTGTGAAAAGCGCTATACAAATAAACTTCAATTAAATTGAACAGAGGATGAGAATGGTTTCCCCATTACCCCATCAAAACATTGATTTTGGTCAATGTATTTGAACTCTATTATGTTCGACATGCCAACAGCCTTGGGTCTTAAATTTCGGAGGTACACTGAATGACTCAGTCTCGTAGTCCAAGGTAAGGGCAGTTAAATAAATACATGGTAGTTAATTGAATCACCTGTTGTTGGTTGGTCTAACAAACAATGACAAATGTAATGTTTCCAGATCACAGTTACATTACATAAAGCTACTTTTTTTACATCTACAGTCCACCTCCATTAGCAAGTAACCCATAAATCACAATAAAAATTTCGCTTCAGTGTTTGTAAATATCACTTCAGACTGAAAATGCAACTAGAAAAATGGGGAAAGGGAAAATTTTGGTTCTTAGGAGACAAGCCTGGCTAGTTTTTGTACTTGATTTTTTAAACTACCCTGTGCTAAAGCTGTTTTAATACAGTATATATTTAACTGGTGCACAGGAATTGAATGACAATGTACTCACCCTTAATGTAATCAGTCACTTTTAGTGCAACATTGGAGTAGTCCACTGGTTCACTGATTTCAGTGCCATAGCGATATTGGTTTCTGCCATTTTGATAACTGTACCCAGGTTCACCACGGTCACCCTTCTGACCAGGGGGTCCAGGCAGCCCAGGTGGCCCTTGGACATAGCGCCTCATAGTGTCACCTGGGTAGGCAAGATACTTTTTAAAATGTTTGCAGCAACTAGTGAGACAAACCTGTGATATGTGAAGTTTACAATCTTAGAATGTAGGAGAATTTGATCACTGGTTAAATCAGCCAAGAGCTCACCAAGTGCAAGTGTCTAATGTAAAGTTACACTGAGGTGTCAGTTTCCAGATTAGAGCATGTGCTGAGTGACACTCACTGTTTAGGTAGTCCTGCAGTTCAGTACGGATCTGTTCTCGAGCAGAAGATCCTGTATATGATACAAGGCTCCTTGTGTCTCCTGGAGGACCCTGGGGTCCTGCTGGACCAGGTAGGCCTGGAGGTCCCCTAAAACCAGATTCTGCATACCATAAAATCACATTACAATTTTTTTTTTTTTTATGGATATAAAACAGTACAATATACATTTACAGAGTATCCGACAGTACAATAATTACTCATCACACACTCACTTTGCAGGTAGCGCTGGATGTCCTCTAGTGAATAACCTGAGACTGCAGAGGAACTGCCTCCTGAGGCACCGGGTGGACCAGGTGGTCCCATAGGACCAGGAGGCCCTGGACGTCCAATGCTTCCACCAATCCCTGACCCTTTAAACATATTCAAAGGGAATGTAAGTAAAGGAAACTCTTTACATGAGCATTATACAATTAAACGTGACATCTATAATACAACGATTAATATTAAAAATAAATAAAAGGACATTTTAAGCAGAATCACATACTCTGAATCAGAGCAGTTATGTCACTGTAGGTGGCACCAGGCTGGCCAGGTGGTCCTGGAGGGCCTGGTGGTCCAGCTCTGCCTATCATTCCCTGTTCTAAAAAAGGTACAATGGTCATCCAACCTGCAGAATTCAATATATTGCAGCTCTTTCGGAAGATTTAGTTCAGAGACATACCATTCATCATTCTCATGACATAGTTTGCAACTTCCTGTGTGTTAAAGGAACTACCACTAATCCCCGGTGAACCTGGTGGCCCTGGAGGTCCAGCAACATAACGCCTTACATCATCTCCTGAGCACAAAATTTAGAGTCTCTGGATCAATTTCTCACATTAAAAATTATATTAGTACAAAGGTTTCTCAGACAAGATTTACTCACTCTGTAAAAGTGATATGATGTAATCAGCAGTTATGCTTCCAGGTGGACCAGGAGGTCCTGGGGGACCTTGAGGACCTTGAGCACTTTGGCTAATGCTGCCACCACTGATTCCAGAGCCTGAAACAAGTACATATTTACCACAGATGCAACAACATTCATTTGTTTAACACTACAATTCAGTTTGTTTCATAGCACTGTTTACAATGTGCCTAAGCACATAGATGAACATCTAGATTAAGAGATGAAGAGAATAAAAGGCCATAACGATATTACAGATCGTGGAACATTTCAGCAAATCAATCAGACAGAAGAGTAGTGGTAGAGTGCTGGTGTAGTTCCTGATCATATTACACTGATTCAGTTCAGTTTAGTATAAATGTCCTTGTGGAAGTTCAATTCAGTTTAGTACAAATGTCACCGTTGAAGGTTGATGCACAGAAGAGCAGCTCCACCAAAGCGTAGCTCCATCAGCCTAAACTAAGCAGGTACAAACAACTACACAACAGGGTGCTTAACTCACGCTGAATGTAAGCTATGACCCGAGATGCCACATCCTCTACTGACACTGAAGCCCCAGGTGGACCAGGCGGCCCTTGAATACCAGACAAATGCTGCCTCATGCTGCCACCTGCAGAAAAGACATCACACATTCATGAAGAAATGATTTTCTAAAACAGAACTATAATTATTGGACCTAAAAATTGCACTACAAGAACAGGTTTGGAGCTCCTGATTTAAGTAGCAGTACTAACTCTGCATATACTCCATGATGTAACGACGATAATCTGCAGCAGATCCACTGGATTGACCTGGAGCACCTGGTGGACCTGGAGGTCCCGGAGGACCAGGCCGTCCCTGGTGTGTAGCTGCAACTAGAAGTCATACGGAAGTTAAAGAGGTTAAAACTTTGTATCTCCACTACTAATCTAGGTATGATACAATTAGAGATCAATTATATTCTTAATAAGTTTCTGTGGGTCCACTATTTCCAAACTGAGAACATCCCACACATGATCTAACTTTTAAGGTGGTGCTGGTAGACCTGGTCTAGAATCTCCAATAGATCTCAAAGTATAACTTTAACTCGAGGTATAACGTTCTTTGTAAATCTGAATTTGATCTCTATATTTTGTCACATTAATAACATTATTACATGTATTATGTTTATAACAGTAAATCGTTGGTTACAGTGGACAAAAAAAACTTGTTACAGTTCTTGTCTAGAGAAGTGACAAGAGTGAACATTTGTTTGTTTTCTTAGATCAATGAAGTCTTACCTCTTGACTCTCCTTGGAAGGTAGAAGTACCTGGTACTCCCGGATCTCCTAAGGAATTAATAAAAATACCAGACTGTAGATGAGAATATACCTGCACAGAATGTGTTCTCGTCATTATTCAAGATTTTTACCTTTACGGCCTTCTCGACCGGGTGGTCCAGGAGGTCCTGGGGGACCAGGTGGCCCTTGAGCCACACCATACTCAGAAACTTTGAAGGGGAAAAAATAATAAGTTGCATATGAATTATATTTGCATTTAAAAAGCTATGTATAAGATGATTTATAATCTCTTAACAATCTTTCAATTAAGAGTAAACACAATATAATCGTTTAGTACTTGACAAAGGGTTCCTATTATTTCCTTTTTAAAAGGTGAAATAAGTCTTATGTGTGCCCTAAGTGTGTCTTTGAAGTTTCGTCCCAGTGTAATAATTCTTTAGTTTTTGGATATGTGATATATTCCGAATCAAACATGACATGAATAAATCCCATTTAAGTGTACACTTTGAACATCAGTGCAGATGTTTTTCAATAGAAGTTTAGATATTTGTATTAGATATCATATGAAGTAATTATATTTTCTAATTTAAACAAAGTTTTTAAAGCATAATATAATCATTTAAACAGGTTATAGCATGTTTTTCTGCAAATGTCATGCGTCTATTGAATTATAAAAAAAAAAATGTTTAACTTACTAACTCTTCCGGAACTCCCTGGAAGGCCAGGCTGTCCTGGTTCTCCTAAAAAATAATGGCACATGTCAAATACAGTGGTGATCTGATTTCAAATGAATTCTTCTGGTATTGTTTGAAGAAAAGAAAAGCTCACCTGTGTATCCTCGTGGACCTTGGGGACCTGAAGTTTACATATATATAATTAGATATCTGATAATGGTTAAATACTGTAGCTTTCTGACATTTATTTTCGAAGTCTTCTAAATTTTTAGTCATAGGTTAAAAGTAAGGAAAAAAGTAGAATCAACTGAACAGGGTTAGACTCACCCGTTGGTCCTTTAGGCCCTGTGGGCCCTGGCGGCCCAGGTGGTCCTGCAAAAAATGTGCCTGTAGAGAAAGCATTCAGAAACTGACTTAAAAAAAAACATAAAAACAATCAAATAATGTATAATTTCATATGTATGCTATAACCAAACCTGAATTAGGCACAAAGTTTCCTGGCTCTCCCTTTTCTCCTTTAGGACCAGGTCTGCCATATCCTATAATATAAAGAAGAAAAGATTATGCAACTGTAATGAAGTAATAATTTGAGTAAGTAGTGTGATAAATGGCAAATAATTGTCAATTTTGTTTAAACTGTGTTACCTGGCTCACCAGGTGGTCCTGGTGGACCTGGTCTGGAATCCCCTATAGGGAGACAACAGACAACAGATCTCCATATTTTTTCACACTAATGATTTTATCGCATTTATTACAGAATATATGGCACAAAACAAACAAAATCAATAACGTTATTGCACCTGGACGTCCAGGGGGCCCTGGTGGACCAGGAGGACCAGGTAGTCCAGTACCACCAACATTAACAGCACCATACTGTCCTGAACATGACAGATAATCAACATTAATGTATTTCTGTAAGCTGCTAATGTTCAGTGTTTAAAAATGTATAATTTAATAAACACTTACTTTCTGCTCTGGTTGAAACCAAAGTCTCACCAGTGTTCACACCAATACCTGGCTCTCCTTGATCTCCCTTATCACCTTTAACACCTGGACAAAAAATGATTGAGGTCATTTTAAGAGTTCACACTTAGCTGATGATTGATTATAAAGTGAGTTTGGAATGCTGTCTTGGGAGAGAGCCTTGAGCTTATAAGATCCTTGAGCCCGGGCTCCCTCCCGCTTGCAGGGCGAGAGGGAAGTTTGAGCTCAGGTAGGTCTCGAGGAACCCCCCTCCCCCCTCCACACAGAAACGACAGCTGGCCTGTTAAGGATTTTAACCAGTAACATTCTTGCTGTGAGACAACCATGTTAATCACTGGGCCACCGTGCCACCCTATGAATGGGAAGGTGGAGGAGTATGGGTGGAAGGGGAAATTCTTCTAGGCAAAGATAACTGTAGTAAGAAACCCTGGCTGTTTATAGTGAGTTAGGAATCATCTTATTAGTGAATCATGCATTAGTTTATGCGGAACCAGCCGTGTTCAATCATAATCATGTGTTCCTCTCAAAATTAGTTTATAAATAAACTTCACTTTGAGTATAATTTCTATTTTACTTACATTCATATTATATATACCCAGTTTTGTACATACAGTTTGTAATATAGCACAGTATAAGCAAAATGATAATTTACCAGGGGGACCAGGAAGTCCAGCAGGGCCAACAGGACCTAGTGTGACAAAACAGACATAACATAAAAATCACACAATAGCTAAACTGTCATTAATTGGACATTCAAAATGCGTTAAAAATGATGTGTGCGAGGTTGTTATTCTTCCTAATGCTTTTGTTCCTAATCCCAATGTTTTGATTTGGTTGTATTTTTAATTTGGATTTTGTTGGTTTGTTTGTTTTTAACAGTGTGATATGAATGTTATGTCCAAGATATTTTGATAACCCAATTAAATGAAATCTACAAAATTGATTTGACATGCATCTATTGTATTATGTCTATTATTTGCTTGTGTTCAAATAACTTCTGTTAAAATTAAACATCAAAATATGTGTGAAATAATGTTTCAGTGTCAGAGTACCTGAGAGTCCTGGAGATCCAGGTGGGCCAGGAGGACCAGCGCTCCCAGGCGGTCCTGGGATTGCCACTGAGGTGGAACCTGCTGTTAAATCAAATCATTTCACATTAAAAAGTAGGATTATAACTCTTTACCGTGCACTTGTTTTAGATTTTCACTTAGACCTACCTGCATTGATCACTCTTCCAGCCTCACCAGTTTCACCTGTGAATGTTTTCAGGTTATTCATTTTGACAAAGTTGTACACACATTTTATAATCTCCAACAATAAGACAACAGATTAAACTAAAAGTCACACCTTTAGGTCCAGGCTGACCAGGATTGCCAGGTAGGCCTATTGGACAAAAAAGCAAACCATTTTTACTATCAAATCTTCAAGTAAAGGTTCATCAATTGGATAAAGCACGTTTAATTGCAGGTTACCTGGAGGTCCTTGAATCCCTGGGGCTCCTGATTTGAAAAATAACAACATAAAAAAGATACACTTACAGTGCAACTGATTCTTTCATCATTATATTTATGGTTTTAATTATTTCACTTATAATCATGTGGGAGCTGTGCTGCCTAAGATCATTTTTCAAAATGAGGATTGCACAGTATGTGCTTTATTACCTGATTGACCAGGATCACCATGTGGCCCAGGTGGTCCTCTGATTCCTGGTAAGCCAATTGATCCTGGCTCACCTAAATATGAGCACAACATGTATCAAATACACACTCAGATTCAAATAACATGCCAATGTGGGACACAGCGTACTGATTTCTTTTGCTCCAAATCATTAAAAATGCCACTAACCTCTCTGACCCTTTTCACCATCAGCTCCTTGAGGCCCTAGTATGAAAAAAAAAACAATTACTCAGGTAAAATCACTAATAACAGAATTTACACCAATCCAAGAGCTGCATTACAGGGGTTCATTCAATAATGTAGTTCAAGCAATTTTCAATAAAGTGATGTTACTGAATGATATTTACTAATTTAACCAACAAATAAAATCCACAAACATTTTACCATTAAAAAGAGGTTTAAATAAATTATAGAATTAAATATATATTAAATTCTTATTTATTTGTGTGGGCGGCAATGTGGCGCAGTGGGTAGCACTGTCACCTCACAGCAAGAAGGTCACTGTTTGAGCCCCAGCTGGATCAGTTGGCATTTCTGTGTGGAGTTTGCATGTTCTCCCTGTTCTCCCTGTGGGTTTCCTCTGCGTGCTTCTGTTTCCCCCTCAAGTCCAACGACTTGCGCTATGGGTATGTTGGGTAAGCTAAATTGTACGTAGTGTATGAGTGTATGTCCTGGACCTCCAGGTTGTGGGTTGAGTCTGCTAACGACCCACTTCGTAAAAATTAGATGTTACGAAACACCAACATGGTGCGGCTAAATATCTACTTCGATATAAATAGCCCTGGGAGTGTTTATTTGTGTCATGGCCATTGTTTTGTGTGAGTTATATAACTCTTCATAAATAATATGCTGATTTGGTGTTGGTGGAAAAACCCTCAATGATCATCATTTCTGAAAAGTTAGAGCTGGTTAATTTTTTTGTGGAAAACATGGGGAAAAAACAGCATTAAATTAAAATATGGTCCTTTTTCCTGTTATCTGTGTTGTCGGCTTATAATAATAATGGCTTCTAAGTTTTATAAGGGTTTAAAATAAATTTTTGTCTATTTCCTGTTCTAACAATGAAATGTCAGGTTTGTATCATTTCCTCCAGACCTGCAGATCCTTTATCTCCTTTCTCTCCAGCTGGTCCTTGTCGTCCTACAACTCCAGGAATGCCTGTCAATTTAGAGACACAACGATTTAACATTTAATCAAATATTCACGAACATGGCACAATTCAATAAAGTTCATTTATATGGCTCATTATAAACATACATACCTGGCAACCCATTCTCTCCTCTATCGCCATGATCACCTGATACAACACACACATTGTCTGTTACATTGCAGAACGATTACAAACTGGATACATGAGGCTCACTGATAGTTCCAAACCTTTAATTCCAGGTAGACCAGGAAGTCCTCTATCACCTGAAAAGAAACATTTTTAGGGATTAATTACAGGATTTCTTTTATTTACTAGTTTGTGAAAAGCATTTTTATTAAGCTACACACCTTTTGGCCCAGCAGGACCAGGCTCTCCTCTGAAGCCTTGAGGGCCTTGTTCACCTACACACATTTTTTTTACATGAATGTCTTATATGATGACAAAAAATGATCAATGCTAATAAACTAATTAGTAAAGGAAGATTACCATGTAAACCACTAGAGCCTGTTGACACAAAGAAATAATGCAGGTCAAACACATGCTTATATTGCATCAGTTTTAATGATTTCAATTATATGTCAACATATCATTTAAACAATGTCTTAAACCTTAATCCATTCTTTGCAAATAAATTTACTTAAAAATAATTAATATGAGCTGTCATGACCCAAATAAAAAGAACAGCGTAAATGTAGTATTGACCTTTTGCCCCAGGTGGACCAATGAGACCAGGAAGGCCAGGACTACCTGAATACAAACATTTAAAACACACACATATAATCATGATTTTAAATATGATCTCAAATGTAAGTGCTCGTACTGTAATAAATTAGATGCTAAAATTCCTATGATCGTAAAACAGGATATTCTTACCCCTTTCACCCTTCTCTCCGGCTCCTGGGGGCCCAGGCTCTCCACGAGGTCCAGGCTGACCATCTCTTCCCCTGAATCCTTCTGCACCATGTTCACCTGTTGTGAACATTTTAAAAGTTCATTCAGTCATTTTCCTTCAGCCAAGTCCTTTATTTACCACGGGTCACCACAACAGAATAAACCACCAACTGCTTCAGCATATGTTTTACACAGCAAATGCCCTTCCAGCTGCAACCATGTACTGGGAAACACCCGTACACTCTCATACTTACAACAGACAATTTAATCCATCCAATTCACTTATACCACATTTCTTTGGAATGTGGGGGAAGCCGGAGCACCTGGAGGAATACCACGCAAACACAGGGAGAACATGCCTACTGGCCCAGCGAGGACTGTAAGCAACCTACTTGCTGTGAGGCGACAGTGCAACCACTGAGCCACCGTGCCACCCCATTTAAAAAGTGTACATTAGGTATCATCTACACTTAGTGCTTAAAGTGTACCTACTGAATTTAATTGTATTGAATTTTAATTTAGTTGACAAGTATAAAACAACTGAACAACATCCCATCAAATTATTTATTATTACTTTCTGAATCTAAAAAATTTGAACGGTTAAGACATTGTAGCTGTTTTTGTTGAATGTGCCCTTAATGCAAATGAGCTGGTTCTCCCTGCCCACCTTTCCCACGTGCATGTCAGAGCCATAGAGATTTCTCTGATGGGTGTAAGCTTGCCCGGCTGCGTCTTGTGTAGATAAACAGCACAGTGACAGACAAGAATGAAGCAGATCTTTCTTACTACAGTAAGAACCTTCCCAATAGTTATTTGATGTATTTGTTGTAGAGTAATTCAAGCCTTTCTGCAACGATGAGTCATACACAATGTCCTTATAAAGTTCTGTAGACACAAACGTTTAGCTTTCGACTATTTTTGGTTGGCAAATATGATAGGATATATGTTAATATCCACTGCTGTATGGACATCTGTTATGTTAATGTACAAAATAAACCTGATTTAAGTCCACAAATCAGGAATGAAGCCTCTTTTATAATTGTACTGATATGTGGCTGTGGTGATGAATTTTTGAAGCGATTTTACCTTCTTTTTTTTTTTTTTTACAAACACACTGATTTAAAATATTTTTAAACTTGTAATTCTTAGTCTTGAGGTGCTGCCGATCACAGAAAGCTGAACAGATCTTTTAATCCCAGTTGCTTTTTTTATTGGGCTAAACATGTCACTGATTGTTTACATTGTGACAGAGGTTACTCCAATGAATTCAAATAAATCCTCGAGTGTAGGAAAAAGGTGGAGTTTGCATTTGCATATATTCCTTTTGCTGTGTTCAAGCACGATTGTTAGGTCAGCGAGAGGAGGACAATAGAGTCAGCTTTTGTCCTTACTAATTGGAAGCTTGATGTGTCACGGCCTTAAACATCTGAGCAAAATATTGTTTAACTTGTGATTTCAAATAAGTGATGATTGCTAATATTTTTCACGTACCTGCACTTCCTTTTTCTCCTTTTTGTCCGTCCCTTCCTGAATGTCCTGGCATTCCTGGTGGACCTACAGAGGCACATCAAAACATAATGAAGTCAGATTGTTGAACAGTTTAATTGTACAAGTATACTAAGGGTGTCCAAACTCAGTCCTGGATGGCTGGTGTCCCGCATAGTTTGGCTCCAACTTCCTTACACATCCCTGGAAGTTTCTAGTATACCTAGAAAGAGTTTGACCAGCTGGTTTAGATGTGGGATTGGAACTAAAATATGCAGGACACCAGCCCTCCAGGACCATAACTGGACACCCCTGAAGTAGACCAAGCATTGTTCTTACCTGGTATCCCTGGAAAACCGTTGTCTCCTAAAAACGTTTGAAACATGATTACAACTTCATTCAAGTTCAATGAATTTGCAAACAGACAGTTTTAAATCTATACAAACCCCTAGTTCCTGGAGATCCAGAGTCACCTGAAAGAGACAATAAGAACAAATATGTGATGGTGGAATTGATGGGAAAGCAGGTTACTGACTGTTCCTAAATCTGCTTGGAAGGTATAAATAAAATTGAATGTAGTATACGTTTGCTACAAACTGAATATCTGATGTACCTTTAGGCCCTGGAAGTCCTCTTTCAGCTTTGACAGAAGAAGCAAGGTAGGCTAAAAACAGAAAAATGATGATTAATTATCGTAGTATTTTTTATATTAAATGTGTGCATTTGTCTTTGTATGATATGTTGACTTGTACCTCTCATTTGTTCGGACTGCATCTCTGCTCTCACTATTTGCTGCACATTTCTCTGCAGTCCAATGTTGTCTGAATTAACCGCAGAATCCAGTGAATTCACATACGCCGCTTTACTTCCAACCTCATCAATGCCATCAATTGGAGCTGACAGACGGCTTGTGTGGGCATTCATGGAGGAGGACATTGCCTCAAGAGTGCTGACACGAGACTTGAGCTTCTTTACCTCCTCAGCTGCAAAAATAGACATTAGCTAGTGATTAAAAGACAACATGAGAAGGCACATTTATTTATGTGTTTCTGTTCTGGACAATTAAAAACTAATCCTGAGTTACTCTCTGTGAAAACGGAAATTGATGCACCAGAAGACACAATTCTCTTCCCACAATATTAAAGTTTTAGTGGGTTATTTTAATAATAGTTGTTCTTTTTGCACAGCAAAATACTCTTTATCTAGTCCAGAGTTGCAATCTTAGTTCTAGCAAAAAAAAATTCTACTGCTTTTTTAAGATTACAATATATGCAGCAGCAGACTGTGTACGATTAGTCTGATTGTTTTAAGATTATTTACCTTTTTTTACTTAGCAAAGCTTAATTTTAAGTATTTACCTGCACATTTAGCTTAATTACAATAAGAGCCTAAATTTAAGACCAGTCTTGTATTTTCAATACTTTTTAGCTGTAATAACTTGTTCTAAGTTTCCCAATTAAAAATGCTCGATCCTACTTATACACTTCCTCACAAAATGGACAAAATACATTCTGTTATGTTTTAAGCGGTGACGTAATTAACAACAGGTAATAAGATTGCATTGTAACTACAGTCAAATTAATTTTAATTAAAAAATTGGAAAATATCCATATATGTGTGACATTAATTCATGCAAAAAAATTGTTTTTAGGTTAAACGCATTGGCCCATTAGACAGAATTTATAATGACAATTCTTAAGTTAAGAGAAATTTTCCAGTTTAGGAGAACACAAGAAAAGCACAATGTTTAAAAATCTAGTTTTAAGATAATTAAAACTAGACTAAATACTTGGATAAATACTAGAGACTCATTTGGAATGTGTTATAATACTTAATTTAAGACTTTTTTCTTTACTAAAGCCTAGATAAGTTTTCTTATTTTAACAAATCTTACCAAGTATAATCTTCTTACTGCAATAGCAGATAATTTGACTTCTTTGTAGTCTGTATCTTCTGAAATCATTTATTTATTTATCATATTAAATGTTTTTTTTTTTTTTTTTTTTTAGTGTGAAGACATTTTGGTTATACACTTTTAGTTTTTATTCGATATATTTTTATTTATGGTATCCTTCAACTCGCTAAAATAAGCTATATGAATTGTGTAATTATTATTTTTGACCTCACACTTAATAATAAGTATATATACAGTTGAGGTCAGAATTATTATTATAAAAGTTTTTTTTTTTTTTTTTTATATTTCCCTAATTATGTTTAACAGAGCAAGGAAATTTTCACAGTGTGTCTTATAATATTTTTTCTTCTGGAGAAAGTCTTATTTGTTTAATTTCTGCTAGATTATAAACAGTAATTCTGACTTCAATCGTATAAAAAAATTACAAGACTTACATAAAGCAATGAGTCCAAACAGAAGGCCGAGGAGCAGCAGGAGTCCGAGCAAAAAGCCCAGCAGCCACTTCCACCAAGAGCAGCAGTTCGGGCCACAACCACACAGACCCCCTCCACACTTACAGTCGTCCTCCTCGTCCTCAAGCTTTGCTTTGTGGATCTCTGACAGGACACCAACAGCAGGACACTGGTAAGCCTTGGCTTTATATTGTGTGACTGTATACTTCTATACCATCATTATTATGTGTAATAGTGTCACATCAAACATTTTACCTGCATATGTAGCTTTATCTTTTGTTGACACTGATGCAGATCCATCTTTGGAAAGATTAAAAAAAAAAAAGAAAGATCAATCTTTTACAAAAAGCATATTAATTGCAAGAAAATTGTCTTCTTTAATGTTTCAAATAAATTCTATGACAATAAAATATCAAAAATTGTGATATTTTGGCTGAATTCCTTTAATTATATACCGAACAGCTATAGAAAATGTACATGCTGTATGTTTATATATATTAACTATTAAACTACACTGAAAAACCCAACAGTCAACTTTATCAAAATGAGTGTAGCTAACTAAAATTTTACTAAAAGTTAATTATACTCATTTGAAAAGAGTTTTGAACTCTTAAATACCTCATTACTTCAACTTAAATGGAGTAAGTTCACAGTACTCATATAGATTTGTTTTTTTAACTCCAACAGTTTGTAGCAGTCGGTTTCCTCAAATATTTGATAAATACTTATTGGGTTTTACAGATACTCAATTGGTTTGAGTTTCCTTTCATTTATTGAGTTTTACTGTGCTTAAATTGGTTTGTTTACTCGTATGAAGTAAGTTCAAAGTACTCATTAGGATTAGTTTTTGAACTTAAATTGTTTGTTCGAACTGAAATGGTTGCAATCGGTTCCCTTAAATGGTTTGAGTTACCTTAACTTTTTGCATTTTACAGTGTAATAATATTACAAATATGTACATCATGTTCACATATATTAACTGTTAAACTATTAGAAGTACAATATTTACATATGTTCACATATAACTATTCATTTATTAGAATTACAAATTGCATTCAGTGTATATGTTCACATGTATTAACTTTTAAAAGTACAGATATTTATTTATATGTTCACATATTAACTATTAAACTGTTAGAATTACAACTTCGAACATAAATATGTTTACATAGAGTATAGGAACTATTAAAACATTAGAATAATAGTTTTTTTTATAATTGCTTTGCCACAAATTTCAGAATTCTGGTGTCCGTTTTCAAAACTCTAGACACAAAATTCACAACCATTGCCAAAATTGTTTTGCAAAACTCTTAACCCTTTTTTCAAATGCTTGGATTATATACACATGTCAAAGATACTGTGTTTATTGAACTAAGATCACCTATTCAATATAATACAATTAAACATCAAATTGATCCCATTTCAAAATGCAACTCAAACATTGCATTTGAAATAAATGTGTATTCATTTATTTAACATAATGTTATAATCAACTGATACAAGCACTCAAAATGATAAATAACTGTTGCAATTCTCTTGATGCGTAGAAATTTATGTACAATATCACATGTTTAGATGATGAACGTTTTACAATAGTTATGCAAGATGACCTAACTGGACTATACATTATCTATAGATGTCATCTTTATTCATCCTTATTCCATATTTATGGTTTCTTTGTTCCATCTATTTTTGTATCCCCTTTTACAGACAATGTTTTCATAATTGACATCGCTGTACTGTATGTAAGAAAGCCCAGGCACAGCAGACCAATGTCAGGCCTGGATTTACATTAACAGAAGGCTCTTTTACAGATTTTTTAAGTAATGAAAACACCACTGTGATGTAGAGAAGAATCTGTGACCAAATCCACAAGACTAGACTGATAGAAACACAAAATCCCAAAATAGAAATCTGATATATAAAAATATTTGCAAATTACATATGTGACATAATAGTTCATTTGAATTGTACATAAATATATTATCTATTATGTTATATATATGAACACACACGCACTATTTTGACAAATTATTGACTATTATGACATTTTATATACAGTATGTGGAATCGATATGTTGTAATTTGCATATGTTGCCATTTATCATGATATACAGTTGAAGTCAGAATTATAAGCCCCCCTAAATTATTAGACCGCTTGTTTATTTTTCCCCCAATTTCTGTTTAACAGAGAGATGATTTTTTTAACACATTTATAAACATAATAATTTTAATAACTCATTTCTAATAACTGATTAATTTTATCTTTACCATGATGACTGTAAATACTATTGGACTAGATACTAGATACAAGACACTTCTATACAGCTTTAAGTGACATTTAGAGGCTTAACTAAGTTAATTAAGTTAAGGAGTTAACTAGGCAGGTTAGGGAAATTAGGCAAGTTATTGTATAACAGTGGTTTGTTCTGTAGATTATCGAGAAAAAAATATAGCTTAAAGGGGCTAATAATTTTGTCCCTAAAATGGTTCATAAAAAATTAAACACTGCTTTTATTCTAGTTGAAATAAAACAAATAAGACTTTCTCCAGAAGAAAAAATATTATCAGACATACTGTGAAAATGTCCTTGCTCTATTAAACATAATTTGCAAAATAATAAAAAAAAATCGAAGGGAGCTAAAAATTCTGACTTCAACTGTATATCAGCTTTCTATTTGGGGATGTGCTGTGAGAAAAAATTACAGTTAACATACATTATGATGGAATGAATAAAACTAGTTCAGTGTATCCACTGTCTGTACGGTTCCCTTTATACATGTAAACCATAATGAACCTGTATCATATATTTTAAACAACAATATTTAATGATTGTTAAAGATTGTTTATTGAAAAGATTTGCATCTTGTGTGCTGGTGATCTAAAGATGTGTTCCTGTAGTATTTGTATGATAAAAGGATTATGTGAATCAATGATTCTGCAAATGCAAGACTTCTTTAAAGAAATGAACGCAGCATGTAGAGTTTTGAACACTGGAGAGTCCGGGTTAAAAGTAGTGACTGTTTACAGTTTTGTGACTAGAGTTTTGAAAATTGACATCAGGGTTCTGAAATTTGTGGCAAAACAATAGAAAAAAACTAATATATGAAATAATATATAAAATAATAGAATATGTTTCCATATATTGCCATAGATTTCTGTATTGGGCACTGTGACTATTTAATAAAATATTTTAATATGCCATTATATGATAATTGTTATAAATATGCATGACAATATTTATTAGGAGTAGCCTATAAACGGCTTGTACACTGAATGACATTTTAGTAAATGTCTTTTGAAAATTATGGTAAAATTATTTAATTTTGGCTCAGAAATAAACTGGACACATTCTAATGTAAAAATGATTTAATATAATATGAAATCAAACGTATTGATGAAACATGAAAATCAAATCCCTTACATTGTGTGCCAGAATAAGACTTGATAGGAGCACTTTCGGAATAGCTGGTCATCAGGGTCTCTTTCTTCACCGAAACATCTGAATATGAATCTTTAATACAAAGACAGTGTTATTAAACATCTAGTGCAAGTCTAGGTCGTAATATCAATCATGACAACTTTAACAGAATCGGTAAAAACTGATTTCCCCCAGTGTGTTTACCTGCTGACCCGTTGGCGGCGCTGTTGCTAAAAAGTTTGCCACTGTCTTTGGTCAGGATCAGTTCGTCAGTTTCTCTCTTCGCTGGAATGTTTTCCTTGTCCATCACCAGGTATCTCTTCGACACATTCTCATTAAATGTCCTTGAACCAGTTCCTAATATATGACAAAAAGTCTTCATGTTTATCACACAACAATGGCTATGTGTTTAGATAACTACACAAGTAATCATAAATCCATCTGCCGAGGGAATAAAACAAACACCTGCAGTGGAGACTCCTTTGCCGACTGCAAGAGTGCTGTTTGGACTTGAGGAATAATTCTTCTGCACTCCATAACCTACAAATACACAAAACACGTTCAAATGTTTAGTGCCACATTCTCATATCAGTTCTAATACCTAATCTTAGTGTTTCATTAGCCAAGATGAAAACTTCTTTTTAAGAACTGAATTTAGCTCAATTTGCCCAGCAGATCTAAATTTTACCTGCAGATACCAAACCAGAAACTAAGAAAATAATAAAAACTATAGAGAAACTGTCAGTTTTAAAATAAACAATGTTCTTCTGAATTTTCTGTTTATCAAAGATCCATAAAATATTTATGCACTGATTTAACATCGATAATTATTATTATTTCTTAAGCAATGAATCATCATCATAATAGATAATTTTGAAGAATTATGTGACACTGTATACTTTGAGTAATGGATGTTTATTTGTAACAACATTATGCTCTGTGTTACTGTTTTAATTTGTTCCCTTCTTTTAAGACGATGCAATTCTGAGTGTGCCTCACACAGGTGACTGGTGAGTGGGCTTGACAAACCACCTGTAGAACACACTATTTTATCTCTCTGTGATTTTAACTGACACTTGCACCAGTTTTGCACATTTGCACCAGACTTTCTTGCAATCACTCCAGAACTCTTAAAAAAACAATTGCACATTTATGAATCGTGCATCACACAGGTGAGAAGGCTTGACAAGCCATCTGTAAAGACTCTCTCTCAAAATAATACTCCCCCTTCCTAAGTCTAGCGGTTATTTCTCTAAAAACAAACATTTCTTTGTACAATTAGCACTTTTGGTGTGTATTCCCTACTTCTTTTTGAATCACCGAATCCCTCCTTAATTTTACATCGTTTTAGTCAAAAGTGTCTGCTAAATGTCTAAATTTAAATCTCAAATTTAATTAAAAAAAAATATTAAACCTTTATTTTTTAAAATAAATAATACACATAATTAATAAATTGACACTCCAGCAACCGAGCAAAAGATAATTCTATTATCTTTCCTGAATCTCTTTCATACTGACCCCAGTCTATCTTTATTATGGAGTTGAACTATAAATGAATAAAACAAACACCTGCAGTGGAGACTCCTGTGCTGACTGCAAGAGTGCTGTTTGGACTTGTGGAATAATTCTTCTGCACTCCATAACCTAGAAAATATACACAAAAACAAGTAAATTGCATTTTTAAATGTCAAGTGTATTTCTGTCACATTCTTCTTCCAGTTAATTAGAAATATACACTCTTCCTGTTTCTCAAGCAACAATGACAACTTCTTTGAGCACTAAGTTTATCCTAAATTGACCTGTAGTTCTGAACTTTATGTATCATGACAACTTTTTCACAAACCAAGCAACAAAACAAAATTAGGATGTATTAAATTAATCTAAAATGACAGTAAATTATTTTTGTTGCAAAACCTTTATATTTTGAATAAAAAACTGTTATTTTAAACTTACTATTTATTAAAGGATCCTGAAAAAAGATTTATAGCAGTTTCTACATACATTTAAACATTGATATTAAAAGAAAAGGCTTCTTGAGCATTAAATAATCATACTAGAATTTTTCTTTATCATTATATTAGAATATAATTAAAATGTTTTTCATTTATTCTTAATGATATATGTGCAGATGTTGTGCCTTCTTTAGAAAAAAAAAACTTTTTTAAAAGATCTTTTTAAAACAAATAACCAACCCCAAACATTTTATCCAGCTATAAAATTGTTCTTTTTCCAAGGGATATTACATAGAATTAATAAACACAAAACACTGTGACAATTCAGCAGAACATGGTACAACCCAGTCCATGCTAAGTTGAATAAAACAAACACCTGCAGTGGAGATGCCTGTGCTGACTGCAAGAGTGCTGTCTGGACTTGAGGAATAATTCTTCTGCACTCCATATCCTAAAAAATACACACAAAAAATAAACTTACAATGAATGACCATTACCATTTGTCAAGGTACTGTCATAATTAATTATTTAATAGCATATGCATCAGAGGATACCTGATTGTGTGTTAACTCCGCTGGACGTTAGGACTCCAGTGGAAGGAGCTAAATTATTGTGGAAGCCATAGACTGTAAAGGAAGAAGAAAAAAATCTGTAAATATCCAATGTGTGTCTGTCAAAGTATGTCTAAGTTTTTATGTATACTGAATGTTAATTAATGCACACAGCATAGGCTTTGAATTTATCATTAAGTACAAGTGTATCCTGGCTTTTCTATATGAAAGTGTTCTTTATTTGGCAATAATGGTTCTTTGGTGAATCTTGAACATCCATATATTATTCCCAAAAAACACTTTTAAAATGGGGAAGGTTCATTTGAACATTTTCATTTTAAAACAACAAATAAAAGATTTCAGGAACTGAAAGGTTTTTAGGGAATAAAACATTGTCCTTCTATGGCATTGCTGATACATTTTTTGTACTTTTATCAGTAATGTAGTTTGACCATGTCAATGCATCCAAAAAGCTATGAATTAGCTAAAAACATTTTAAGTTCTCATCATTTTTGAAAGAAAAAGAGCAGACGTGTACATTTTCCACCCGCTTTAAATGTTATCACTCTATTGAATGGGCTTTATCAGTAGTTATCAGCTGACAGATATGGGCCAGTAGGAGCCTTCTGCACCTACCGTTAGGCTGTTATCATCCATCCACATGGTTAATCATGGCTAATCCACATTTTGTCAGGTCAACATAGTAAATAAGTGATCATTTATATAGACCTGATAAGGAGGATGGGGATGTGCTGCTGCTGATCAGTGAAGCTCCAGTTGCCATATTGTTGGTGTTACTTTGAAAGCCATAAGCAGTGGCGGTGCCAGTGGAGACTGCAGAGGGTAGTGTGGAGCTGTTCCAGGTGTATGAGGCCAGATCTGCTTCGAGAAAACTGCTGTCGTATTGCTCCACTGAGAAGATTGAAAAGAGCTCTTAATGCTTTGAAATGCATCAATGAACTCAGGAATTTAGAATGTTGCTGAGCATGAAAATAAACACACTCTGTACAACAGAACTAAGTGTGTGAACTGTAGAAAGACCTAATGGTTTAATGAAGCTTTACTAATCACATATATAATAAGATCACCTGTAATGCGGCTTTCATTACCTTGTTTGCTGGAGGTCTTGGTGTCTAAGGTGGTAGCCTTGCGTGGGATTGGCAGAGGGGATGAGGAGGGTGATCGTGTGGGGCTGACGCTAGCGGAGCGAGAGGTCTTCAACAACTTCTTTACATCATCCAGCTCCGTCCCTTTATCAGAAACACTCCATCACACACAACTTTCATGTCCAAACATGTGTTTCACTACTGGCTAATGTGGTGTTAAATAATAAAAAAAAAATTCTAATTTTCTAATTACAATGCAAGATTTTAGTCCATTTATTTACTGTTGAGTGTTACAGATCTATTAGTTGATTGGACATGATAACTGAATTAGAGAAAAAAAAAAACAGAGAAAACATACATCTAGTTGAGGGAGATGCGCTCTGTAGTCTGGTCCTGATTTCTGTCTCTGAAACAAAGTAGAAAGACAATAAAAGCAGATCAGATGAAAATCTGAGAGAAATTGTTTTGATTTTGAAATTTCAACTTACATCAATTAAACTGACTACAAATGTTAAGTTAAACTTTGTATAACTTAAAATAAAATAGGTTAAAGCAACATCAAATTATTTGTTGTCGTGACTTTTTGTCATTAACTTTTTACAACAAAACATACATTTAGTGTGTGTATATATACTGTACATAGGCCTATATATGCAAACAAAATAAAAATGTTTTACATTTTTGTGAATGAAGTTATTGAAAACCACTAAAATATGATATCTAAAGTCTTCTAAAGGTAAAACAAGATATATTGTATAGTCACTATGCAAAAATCATACACTCTCAGAAATAAAGGTAGCTGTGACTGGGGTACTTTTTTAAAGGTATACATTTGTACTAAAAGGGTCCATTTGGTACCCTAAAGGCCTAAATTAGTACCTAAAATTTTCAAGAGGTATGTATTTGTACTATTTAGATACTAGGCTGACCCTTGTGGTATTAATAAGGACCCTTTAGTTACAAACATGTACTTTTTGAAAAGGTACACCCCAGTGACAGCTCTTCTACCTTTATTTCTGAGAGTGTAGGTGTAATTGCAAATAATGTTTTTTTTTCTAAAAACAATACAAACAGTGGCATTAGCTCATGTTTATGCTGCTATATTTTTGCTTTTACTTTATGTATCAAACAAGGTTTTAATTTTAGTTACCTATTAAAAACCCTGATCAGTGGACTGATTTTCAGAAATTCTGGACAGCTGAATGCTTCTCAAATCATAATCGAGCAGTTGCATAACACATTTCTTTAAAAAAATGTTTTATGTAAATGTGTATTCTGAATGAAGATGATTGGGAAGAGGCCAACTGTTTTAGCCAATCAGAAACACTCCCTGTGATTCACTGTGGTTGTGGGTTGGCTGACAATGGTTTGATGGGTTTTGCATTGTTATATAATACAAATAAATTACTCAAACTGACTTAAAGTAATTCTTTTTTTTTTGTGTAAATGAAAATCTTACCCCTGCTTTGACTCCTTCCTCTAGATGAACCTGGAAACAGGCAACCAAAAGAAACTGATATTGCTCATCTGTTTCAAACAAAAGCCATTTTAAGTTATTTATTTCCTGAAGGTCTTACCATACTCTTTTCTTGAGAGCTCTGGGGATGAGCTGTCACTTGAGCTTCCTGAAGATTAAAGAACATTATTAAATGCTAGTGCAACCATCTAAGCACTGAAAAGACTGAATGCACAACATTTAAAAGCTTATTTAGTTTATTCTAAGTTATTGGAAGACAAACCATCATATCGACGTGAATGAGTGCTTTTGCTTTTGGAGTCTTGTGTTCTTCTTATGCCTTCAGTGGAGCTGGATCTCACCCGCGGGCTGGATACTGAGCCAGAGACGCTCTCAAAAACTCCAGAGGAGCCGCCTGCTGTCCTGCTCTTACTCACAGACGAGTCCTCTAGCAGAAACTCTCCTGATCCTGAGCCGAACCCACCTGCACTCCCACTCCCACCCACAGATGCTGGAGCACAGAGACATAGACAGATTGGGAAATGTGTGAATATATGAGGTATGTTTAAATTATTTGAAACAAACTATAGGGAAGCTTTGCAGTGTCTTTGTAAAATGTGAAAATTTTGAAGAAATAAAATAGCAGGATAGAATATATAGTCTGTATAAAGTATAAAAACATTATGTCTGTGGTATAAAGATAGCTGTACAAGCGTGTGTTTGTGTGGAAATTGAAACTAGAATTTTAATGATTAATTTCTCATGACAATTAACCTAAACCTTATTTTTAAACTTAAACGTCAGGAAAAATCATAAATCATAAATGCATAGCATCTTAAAATAAAAACATTAAGAAAAAAACAATTAAAAAACAAAAGTTAATTACAGTTTATGTTGGAAATTATATTTTTGCAAATGTATGACGAAAACATAAATAGACTGGATTAAAAATAATTTGGTAAAATACTTTAAAATTAAAAATATTACTAAAATGTGTAAAATACTGATCTTTTTTATAATCATTTATTTTTTTGAAAAAGAAATATTTAATTTCTGACTGTTACAGAAACGGCACCATGCAGAGTTTTTTAAAAAAAATGTATATTAAAAATACTGCAACAAATTACTGAAAAAAACCCTGAAGCAGTTTATTGTATAGCTCTTAAATAGCTCTTATATTGACTTACATGATGAGAAAAAGGAGCCGCTGTTGTTTTGTGTCAAAATGTTTTTCTCCAGCAGGCTTGGAGAGCCAGAGCTGCTTGACATGCCCTTGTTGGTGGATGAACTGAAGCCTCCTGGGGTTAAAAACACAATAAATCATAACAAAGTCCACTTTGACCTGACTAAAAAAGTTACATACTATACACAGTATGCCAAACATGAAAGGAAATGATAAAAGTAATAAAAAGTATAAATTAAAGACATAGAGGAAAGATATAATGAGTAGTGAATGGTAAATATGGGCAACTTACGAGGAGGTAAAGATGTGACTCTAGAAGTAGAGATTGTTGTTTCAGTGAAGCCTGTTTTCAGAATACATGTTATATTATGTGCGCAGCAGGAATATTATTACAAGTTTCTCTATAATAGCCTATTAAATAACCACTAGATGGCACAGCGTTCACAATAAACTGATTTTGGGTTCAGATTCGTCGATTAAATAATGTCAAATTCACTCAATTATCAAACATCCTTACCTCTGTCTCCTAAACTCCCTCCGGTATAGTTTCTTTGGTGTCTTAAATCGTCCATCCCATACTAAATAAATGAGCAAAATCAATAAATTAGATGTTAAGATCAGTAAAATTGACTTAAGGCAAAAATATTAGGCACTTGCCATATAAAGACAAGTAAATAAATAAATTAAAAATGATCATTGACAACACTGGAAACTAATGGAAATTCTAGCAGATATTTTCAACAAAATCTTACAAAAAATCTTACTAAACGTTTTTGAGATCCGAAATTAAAAGTTTTGTCTAAAATAAAACATGTTTTGAAGAATGTCTATTGCATATAACATTTCAAAAAAGTAGTCAGCTATATGCGCATTGCAATACACTGAAAAAAAGGATTCATTGGATTTACTTATTTCTTAAGGTAAGTGGTTGTAAACAATTTATACATGCTATATTTAAACAAACAAATTAAATTTAGTAATGTACAGCTTAACATGTTTGTTTAAATTTAATTTATATACATTTTTGCAACAATATGAAATAAACCATTTTTTCAGTGCAGCTATGTGTTATTTTTCATAACAATAAACAAACTTTCTTCCCACTTTGGAAATTATGAGCTAAGTGTCTTATTTAAAGTGCATAATTATAATTGTGTAATCTCCTAAAAGTACAACATTTTAAATAGAAAAACATTGCTGAACTAAAATAGGCCTAGCATTTATTTCATTGAGGAAAACAACAACAGCCAGCTGTAGCTTATTCAATCAGTTTTAATCTAAATGTCCATGTGAAATGACAAACATAAAATGTTTTTACATGGTGATAAGTGCTTAACTATACGTCTGAATGTCTATTTTAACAGGTTTTAACAAGAAAGGTGAACTGCATGCTCACTGATAAACAAAGGTTTTTTTTTCACTTTCCTGGCAGATCTCACTCAGATTTCCAGGCAAGAATCCCAAAGAATGTACTGTAAGACTTTTCCACACCATATCCAAATATAGCGCAACCAACTTTTAACAGTAGAGAAAAAATAATGTCAAAGGGGCAGTTATTTGCTCGCACAAAAGAGTTCCACGAACAACTATAGTCTATATTTACAGCAGAGAGAGTAAAGCAATTTATCAGCACCACACCCTCCTCATCTTCTATTTCAAACGCAAAACCAGCTACTGTCTCCCTGCAAACCACAATACATGAAAAAGCTCAACACAGAGATGAATGATCCACCGTAGACAAATAATGCTTTTATTTGTTAACATTCATTGTCCATGTAGAGCTTTTCAAGCCACAGATCCAGAATCAGTTCAGATTTTAGAAGCATTTCTTTCCCACAACTTTCCTAAACAGAGAGTTAATGCCAAAGAACAACCAATTGGGTTACTTGAATGACTTTTAAGTAAACATTTGTCTAAATAAACCATTTTCTTTTTTGTCTGAATAACATTTTAATAAACTAAAAAATAATTTTCCAATTTAAGGATCTGCAAAGTGAAATGTCTAGTTGTTAAAAGTTATTCATAAAAACATCAATAACATTAACATTTTATTATATTTGTTATATTATTTATTATATTTTATTTTTAAAAAATTTATTTTTAAGTGTGTACCATTTAGCTTTTAAAACCTAATACTATTACAAGTCAGGTGCAACTCTGTATTAAATAAATCTCAATGGATCACAATGTATTTACAAATAAATACTAACTTTAGCAGATCAACAGGTTGTTAAAATCATATACGTAATTAATTATAAATAAATAAAAACATCTATATTTATAATGAAATAACATAATCATAAATATATTGCAGCTAATTAATCTTTTCAATATCGTATGTAAGTGCCAAAGCAAAATCATTTGTGTTCTCAACAAAAACGCTTTACCTTTTTAGTTCTAAGATTGTGAAGAGAAAGATTTATCCTCTCTGGAAGGCAGATAAGTCCACTGAAGAGCTGGCTGTGAACTTCACCTGTGCAGCATGACTGTTGTTACCTGCCGTTTTCTTGCTGATTTTCCCCCTGCTTTGACAGGCAAGTCTCCACAGGACTCCTGGGTCGGATTTTATATCGAGCCACTCCCCTGTCTTCTGGCAGGTATACACACAGACAGAGCTTTAAAGAAGACAATACCCTCGGGAATCGCAATTTTGATCCTTTATGTTCCAGCTAACTAAAACTGTAGGGCATGTTCAGGTGAACACAGGTGTGGCTTGATTTATCTGTGCGTCAGTAACTTCATCTAGAGAAATGTAGTAGGTTCAATCAACTACTGTCTTAAACATAAATCCTTTCAGCCATTGTTTTATTTGACAGTCTGTAAAATAATGTTCGCTGCAGTAAGTTACAGTAGGTCATAAAGGCTTACATACTGTGTATAGAGCTGACGATTGACAGACTTTCATGCTCTGTCTCTTTTAAAAAGCAGAACAGCAGTGCAATACTGTATGTGTACATGTATGAATCTGACAAATACTTATGAATAACCATCAAAGCTTTCAAGGAATACATTTCATCAGCACTTGCACTTTTCAGGAATCAATTAAGGTTTAAAGTAAGTTTAGTATAATTGGTAACACTATAATTACACACTACAAATCATTTTTATTAGCAAATATAAATTCCTTATCTGTTCAGCATAAACTCCAAATGTTAGTAAGCAGTTTATAATAGCAGATACAAATAGTCTAATCTTGACTTATCACATATATAATGTGATTAATGATTGTTTATTTTCATACTTTGTTAATTATTTTTTTTTCTTTACTAAATTAAAGGTGCTGCATGTACGTTTTTGACTCTTCTAAAGCATAGAAATACCATAATATGTTTGCTGATATTTAAGAAACATGCAAGTGAACATTATTGTTTATCTGAATAACAGTGCTAAAGTCAGATATTCTGGTTTGAAAATGTGCTTTCCGTGCTGGAACGTTGTCTTTGTTTTGATATTTTTACCCGCCCAATGCCAGTTAGCCAATTAAATTTCAGCCCTGTTAGAAAACCGCATATTTCATTCATTCTTTCAGAAAAGCTCTCAAACCATGCGCTCGTGACCGAAATGCAACCTCTGGTGGACAGTGGTAGACTCTGAAATGAGAGGCAGATTTAGAGTTCCAAATGAGGTTGTTAATTAGCAAATTATATAAATATTACGAGCTTAAACATTAGGTGAGCATGTTATATTGTCACCCTGTGTTCTAACATGCTACGTGACGAGATATGCAGTGATAAGCAATTTGGCTGTCTGCACCAGACAAAACACAACAGAAATTTAAATACAGCCATTCAAGCACAGAATATGAACTCACTCACAAAATGTTAAGGTTTATAATCTAATTAATACATATTAAACCTCTTTAACATTATTAAATGATGCTGAATCCCTGTTATGTGCTCTGAGTCAGTTCTAAAGTTCAGTTTCAAACGGTTTATTTTATTTTCAAAATCTGAGGTGAACTATCTGCTGCTGCTTTCAGTTTATGGTAATAAATGTCATGTTAAATGGCATTTAAACTCACATTGTTAGCATTTAACACTGAATAAAGCACATGAGCTGTAGCCTACCTGAGGTGATCGTTGTCAGTTTTCTGTTGTTCAGCTGCAAGAAATAGAGACTGTTCCTAATATAACAATTTCAGGTGTTGGTTAGAACAAAAACTCCTTTTAATATGGTAAATATACCTTCTATCGCAAGCTGTTGCTTTTGTAAAGAACATGATTTAAATTTAGCCTTTAGGCTCGATCATAAGACTCGCTCCAGTCCTCTATTTGGCAACCTGCGCTTGTGTTTGTTTTGATTCAGGAATGTTATACCTAGTTCAACCACTGGGTGTCAAACTTACATACTGCAACTGCACCATTGACAAACCAGTCATTTGAGAGAAGTTGCTGGTTTTTAAAGATTAGTTCATTTGATACTGGGCCTTTAATTGTATAATTTATTTGAGATTTATGAAGCATAAATAGTCTTCATTTCAGATTAAGTTACAAAATTGGATGAAGTTAAGTTAATAAAGCATTTATTAACAGACAAAATAACTATTAGTATATGCCTGAATAATAAGATATAAATATTGATTTGACTGATTTATTCATCGTTTACTAACTCAATTTGAATGATTCTAAAAGCCACCAACTACTCTTAAATACAAATGATTTGTAAATAATGCAATACTTAATTTAGTCATGAAAAATCTATTAACAACAAAGTATGAAAGTACAGATATTGAGCACATATTGAATGTGCTTATAAGTAAAAAAAATAGCATTTGTATCTGCAGTTATAAACTGAAGTGAAGAGGGGTTAATTAAGGATACGGTAGGCCTACATTTAGTTAAACTGTTAAAAAAGAGAAGAAAAAAGTAAATGCACAGCACTATTAGTTTTCTGCCAAGATATTATCCCATAATTATTCAATAAAATTAAGCTGTAAAAACAATAAATAAAAAAATTTATACATATTTATATTTGCCTTTTTTATCTATTTATTTTTTATATTTTTAGAATTTATTAAAGGAACTAAGCCGAAAAGAAAATGAATGAATGAACGAATTAATATTTTTAGAATCTATATCATGTTTATATCCAATGCAATTGGATTGTTGGTGATTGTGATTTAATTACATTACGATGTTAATACTGTAAAAAGAACCATAAGAACATAAGAACCATAGTCATTTTAACCTTTCCCCGGAAGTTTACCGTTGGTTAAAAAACACTGTGCACATAGCCCATTCAAGGATGTTCTTCTTATTATTTTTACAGGTTTTTAAATTGAATGCTATATTTATGTAAGTTAATGACTCATTATCAGTGAATCATCAGGTAACGACTGGATCATTGAACAACACAAGTATTCCAAATGGAATTCAGGACATTCAGTCTTCCCAGGGGAAAAGGGTGTTGTTTCTATTGAGATTAATATTTTTTTCTTTTGATTCATTTTTCCCATTGACCACACCCTGTTGACAAAATGCATATGATTCACAAAAGAGCTTTGACTCCACCTCATGTGCATCTCTCTCTCTCCCTGACCACTGAACTAGACCTCATTCAAATCACCGGGAAAATGTAAGAGAACATGATGAGTCTACAGCTATTAAACAATTATGGTATCACTGGCAAGCGAGTTATAACAAGATTTGCAGAAGAAGCAGAACAGTCGTGAGCTTAAATAAAAACACGTGAATGTTCTGAACCACAGATGCAATATGACTCTGATTTTTTCCCTTTATGAATGTGTTACTTAACTGTTATTGTTTATCAATGTTTCTCCAAATCCATAATTATTCTGTGTGCAGACAGTGCTTACTGAGCATGTCTGTTATATAAACACTGCATAACTGGGCTCATCAGTGTAGATTCAGAGTTTGATTCATTTCAACATCATTCATTTTGACTAATTTATCCCAGTAATTTTCTTGTAGCTGTTGTTGTGTAATGGTCAATTTAATAATCAATACTGGCTAACTGATCTGTTAAAATATAAATTTTCTGTATTATTTTGTGAATTAAAGATAATTAAAATAAAACGCTAAGGCACAGATTTTTTTTTTTTTAGTGGGGAAAAGCGGGCACGAAAGTACCATTTTTCATAAAAACCTGTTGTGTGCTCAGTTGTTATTTTCTCTCAGCAAAGAACAACTCCAACTTTAAACAAAAGTTGCACATTGTTACTGAAAGTAACACACGGGTGGGTCAAAAGTAGCACAACAATATTTGCTAGATTCACTGACGTAATCTTGTTCATTCATTCATTCATTCATTCATTCATTTCATTTCATTTTCGGCTTGGTCCCATTATTCTTGAGGGGTTGCCACAGTGGAATGAACCACCAACATTTCCAGCACATGTTTTTTTACACAGCGAATGCCCTTCCAGCCGGAACCCAACACTGGGAAACACCCATACATTCTTGCATTCACACACATACACAACGGCCAATTTAGCTTATTCATTCACCTGTACCACATGTCTTTAGACTGTGAGGGAAACAGGAGCACTCAGAGGAAACCCACACCAACACGGTGAGAACATGCAAACTCCACACAAAAATGTCCCAGCCAAGGCTCTAATCAGCGACCTTCTTGCTGTGAGGCGATCATGCTACCCACTGTGCCACCGTGACGCCTATCCTTGTCTTTTTTTTTTTTTTTTTGGCAAAAAAATACTGAACTGCATTTTCATTTTAAATTTCAGTTCCATCAAATGTTACAAAAGCAATCCAACAATGCAAAATGTTAATATTTTATACAAATTTTCAAGATTATTTAATTATTATTGGCAATATGCATCAATCTTATAAAGCATATGAGCCAAAACACTGAACACTAACGTGGAAGTGAAAATAAGGCATGGCTATTAGCAGTGGGACACAAATAACAGTGTTACTTTCGTCGCCACAGGAACTCTTGCCATTTAAACCTGCTTTACTTTTAAACTGAAAAACTTAGACATTGCAAACTGAAGGATGTGTTATTGCACTAAATAACCTGTAGATTGGTCATTACCGTAACACATGAAAAGAGAAACACAACTTGTAATGAGGAAAAAAGTAGCATACACTAATTTTCTTTTTCCACTTCAAAACTGAAATTTAGACCAAACTGCAGGACAAGGTCGCAAAATCAGCTGATATTTGTCATCTCCATCAAGGGCTGCATGCTAAATGTGCTGTTATAGCCTGGAAATCAAATGTAACAATGCTTTTGTTACCCACTCTCCGCTACAGTTTCTTCCTACAGTTTTATAATGTAATTGTCTACCACGCTGTATAAAATATGTCTTAAATCAGCAAGCTATACAAAGATAAAATGGCTGTACTGTGCTAGTTTGTGCATTGAAACTGTTGTCTCACAAGACTACACTCAATATACATATAACGAAATCCCTACAAATTAAAGGACAGCAACTTTCCTTTATTTATGTGGCCACTAAGATAAGTTAAATTCATTATAACTAAATTTAGAGCAAACAAAATACACTAATAGTTCTTTTAGACTACATTACCCATGAGTCTTGTTAATAACAACGACGCAACAAGGTCCCGGAAGTGACGACGAAACAAATGGCACCAGTTTCAAAACAGCTGTGTTCACTGACAACTTTAGAAATGGAAGATCATATTCGCACAGAACTGCTTTGGAGAGTACTAAATCACAAATGATAAAGTTATGTAGTCGTTTTTTTCTTTTCGTATCTTGTAAAACATGGAGACAACCCCGATAAAACCAACAGCAGCTGATGAAACTACGCCAAGCGCCGAGCAGTCTTCAAACAGGTCCAGTACTGCAAAGGTAAAGCTTATTGTCTTTTTGACTTTATACGATATTTGTTTTCACATAAACTAACATTAGCGAAAAAGATAGATCACTTTTTCTTTCTTACATGTTATTTTTCGTCGAAACATAATTCTGCTGCATGTCTGAGCTTTCTTTTGATCATTGTTGACATTGTTTTCTTCAGCCCATGAGTGCCTCGCTGAGGGAGAAGCTAAAAAGATCTCGACACTCGTTCAAGTCTCCCCTCAGTGTGGTAAAACGACTCAAAATAGAGGATGACACTGAGCCTCAGCCTTCACAGCAGGGAGAAGAAGAGAAACACGGTGTCAAAGACGACAGAGACTCTAACGTTACAGAGACTGATGTCAACAGGAATGACATGAAGCTGCAGAGAGACTCGAACCACACAGCTGAGCTCCCCAGTCAGCAATGCGAAGCGCTGAGAAAAGCGGTGAAGGAGAGAACAGAAACCTTGAGGAGATTAAAGATGGTCAAGATGTACAGGAAAAAGGTAAATATAAATTCGTAAATTATGGCTGGGAGACAACAACAAAAAACTAATATAATGAAAATATAATATAAGTCATCTCATATGTTGATATATGTATATATGCCTTTTTGTAAGTTCTGTAAAAAATTAGAAAATTAATGGAGTTTCTAAATTGACCACTTGGAATTTTAAAATTACGTTTTTATTTTAATTTCTATACTAAAAAATTCTATATGTTTTTTAAATTTTATCCCTTAATTTAGAACTCGAGGGACACGAGAGAAGAATGTAGAAACTTGAAATAAATATTAATGAAATATAAGTCACTTTTCAAAAACTAATGATCGCAGGCACACCATAACAATATGCTTAGATATATTGAAAAATCATTGTTATTGCAGTAATAGTATATGCAATATCCAAATCTCTTGCTGATATTCTCTTGCTATATTCTCTAAGCACTAACTGTTCCTTTGTATAATTAGCCCGTGCTGTATGTACTGCCTCGTACTGATGATTTGCCTCAATTGTAAGTCACTTTGGACCAAAGTGTGTGCCAAATGACTAAATGTATATCACAGGGAAGTGCAATAAATTAAATTACTTTTATGTTTTTGTATTTCATAGAGGCCTTAACTATCTTAATGCCCACCTTTACAGTAGGTGAACCTAGAGCTGAAAGTGAATATTAATGCTGGGAGACAAGATATTAAATTGACAGCAGCCAATGAGAATCAGAACTCCAGCAGTGGTTTTCAGTTATTCAAGGTGTTTTAAAGTCTAAATGTTTGAACCTTGACACATTTTTTTAAAATTGGCTCAAAGAATCATATACCTGTCTATTTTAGTATAATCGTAGAGTAAATAAATTATTTTTGTCAAAAAAATTGCTAATAAAAAGTTTGTTATATCATAGGAAATATTGTTATTGCAACACTCAACAGTACCATCGCATATTGCATATTTTCTCCAGTATCGTGCAGCCATAATATAAAATATATTCACGTTTCATCCAAATGGTGAAAAATGATTACATGCAAACATTGTATTTTGAGATGCCACAAACTAAATGACAGAGTCTAATATAAAGCGATACTTTTTATTTTGTACTTCTGATGAATATCACCATAAGTAAGTAAATGATTTATTTGTGAGCGAAGCATACTGCTCTTGAAGCTGTTTTTCTCTCTCCACAGAATGACTTGAATGAGTTGCAGAGGCTCACAGACAAATGGAGATCCTGTGCTCAGTCTGTGCTGTATGAACTACAGAGAGAACTGGCCACAGGTGGAAAACAAGCCAGTCTTTCACAACTTATTGACAGCTTTGGGATTAATGATAAACTACTGCACTTTGATAGGACAGAGGAAGACTTCACAGACACGTGAATACATTTCAGCAATTTTTATTCACAGTTCAAACAGATTGCAGCGAGCTTTGTTCATTAAAACGTTTGCGAAGAAAGATTGTCAATTGATTGAACTGTATAATAATTTATTGCACCTTTGTGTGTTGTTTATTGTTTAGGTAAAGTTGTTGCGTTTTGTATGTAGAGTCAGTTGTAGTGCAGTTGCGAGAGAGACGGGAAGTTCTTCATGCGCAGTTTCTCCAGCTCCGCTCTCAGCAGGAGCAGCTCTTCAGACTGAGCTCTGGCGATGGCCAGCAGCTTCTTTCTCAGGAGGATGTCCTGGTAGTTCTTGTCTGACTCTGTTTCCTGGTTATCTTCCATTGCTGGAAAAAGAAAATGTTATCAAATTTTGTGAGCTGTTCAGGCTCCTATGCATTTTTAGCACCATTAATAAATATGGATAAACAGCTATGGTGAGTCCTAATTCATCAACCATAGGCAGAATGTACAAATCGTTTGTTATTAAAAATATATTTTTCTTTAATTCGATATACTTCTGTTCATAGGGTATTTTTTAAAGAGTTCTTATTTAACTTATAAACATTAATCAGTAAATGATGATCAATATATAGATACACAATTTGTTTATATGAAGGCCAAGCTGAATAACTCCAGTAGTCAAATTATTCATCAAAAAAAGCATTTTTGAGCAGTTTAATCAATCTCTGCTGTTTAAGTGTCAATTATGATAATTTATCTCAGAATTCTGCGTATTGTTTTTACAGATTAAGATACTTTGTTCTGCACAATTTATAAAATGACTGTTAAAGTCAGAATTATTAGCCCCCTTTGATTTTTTTTTTCTTTTCAAAATATTTCCTAAATGATGTTTAACAGAGCAAGGACATTTTCACAGTATGTCTGATAATATTTTTTATCAGTTTTTAATTTTTTAATTACCCTAACCTGCCTAGTTAACCTAATTAACCTAGTTAGGCCTATGACTTTAAGCTGTATAGAAGTGTCTTGAAAAATATCTAGTCAAATATTATTTACTAACATCCTGAGTCTGACAAAGATAAAAAAAAAAAAAAACAGGGGCTAATAATTCTGACTTTAATTGTAAATGTACAATAGTTATTTAACAAATAAAACAGAATATGCTTTGAAAGACAGTGTTAAAATATAAATATTAATAATTGCAGTTAATTATTTTTTGGGGCTCCAATATGAGTTTTTAAATATCAAATTTACATATGCCTTTTATGTAAACTTGTTAAAATTCCAATTTAATGGGTGGCTTTTGTAAATTATGGTAAAATATATGTTAAAATGTAAACAACATTTTAATGTAAAAACAAAGCTGTATTGAATTTTTTAGATTTATTTTTGGCCTTTTTTAAAATAGTAAGATAGTATAGAGACAAGAAGCAAAGTTAGAGAGAGAGAGAGAGAGAGAGAGAGAGAGGCGTAGGGAAATGTCCTCGAGCCAGGATTCGAACTCTGGTCACTCTGACGTGCTACTGCACCACATGTCGGCATGCTAACCACTAGGCTATTGCGCAGACATTGCTTTTTTGTTTTGATGCTAGAAACCCCCTTTTTGTTTTGTTTTTTGCCCATGAATTTCAATTTTTTTTTAAAAATGTTTGAATTTTACATTTTTTTATTACCCTATTGAATTTAATTGAAATTAATTTGCTTTAAAGAAATGTATTGACCCCAAACCTTTGAATAATAGTGTAATCAAAATATTCTCACGTTCCTGAACAATGAAACTACCACAGACTCTGTTTCTGCTAAAAGTATATTGATACTTGGATGAATTCTGTCTTTAATGGGCAAGACATTAGGTCAGTTACCAGCAGCCTCGTAAAAATTTCTCCTCTCTGCCACCGTTATCTCCATTTCTGCCACTCTCAAGTCAAGGGCTGCGTTCTTCTCCTGCATCTTTGCAACTTGTCTGTCCAGCTGCCTTTTCTGTTTCTTGCAAATCTCAATTTTCTTTTGATGAGCCTGTGGCAAGAGGGGAGCTAAATCAAACTTTTATATTTGAAATACTCATTAAAATCACTTTTCATCCTATTTATAGAAGGTGCTTGACAAATAACAATGAAGCTTACCGTTTTCTGTAAATCTAAGGTCCTCTCAAGAGTTGTGAGTTGCTTTGACACCCTGTTGTCATTATTTGTTTCATTCAGGTACTGACATAAACAATACAAAGAAACAAATATTTATAATTGCAATACAGAAATCGATTTGAAATCTTCATTAGGTTACTTTGACAACTGTAGTCTGACCAAGGTAAACAAATTGAGATTATTTTAATCATTATTCAAAATCTTGAAATAAATGTAGATGATTAAAATCAGTTTCCTAATTATATAAATGCCTAAATCCATATATAAAAGCTTAAATCCATACATCTTGAATGTCCTGAGTGATGCGCAGCGTCTGTATGTTTCTGGCTTTGTTGCTGAGATCTTCCAGCTGCATCCTCATTCTCCTGTGCTCCCACTCCTGCTGGATGATTCCCTTACGGAAATCTTTACACTCCACCATAGTGGCGATTTTCTGATCTCCTAAAGCCTGACAGGAAAAACCACAACAAACTCGCATTAATAAATTAATTTAAAAAAAAGTGTAAATAAGTGCAATAATTAAAAAAAATGTAAAGAATATTAATAGAAAAAATGATCATATTTAGATGATAATATTAAAGGGGCGTCTTAAAGTTACAAATGTTTCTATAGTTATTATGGCCATTAACAATGACTATCCAGATTTCATTATCTGCTTAATGATTTGGATGATGCACAAAAGAGAAACATTCAGCAATGATTGTTTTAATTGGCACCATAATATGTTGTAGTGTAAGCAGAACATTTATTCAGTACCCTGATAGTGCTGTTCAGGTCCTCAACAACTTTACGTTGGATCAGCAATGCGTTGCTATAGTCAGCGATGAATTCTCCAGCCTCCACCTCAACCTGACCCTGCTGGAGAACAATCTGCACCATACTGTCCAGTCGAAACCTCATCTTCTCATCACACAGCCTGGAAAGTAATGAAATCCCCTAATCAGAGATCCTCAAGTATCATTTCGCCTCTGCACTGTAATGTTCTTGATTTTTATAATGAACTGTTACCCATTGAGCTCATCGATGAGATTTTTTATTTCAAGTTGAGCTTCGTCATCCTCATCTATTCTCCTCTGAAGAAAGGCCTGCATTTCTGCCAAAGTCAGTGCCTTTAGTTTGACCTAATAAAATCAGTGTTAAAGGGGTCCTTGATTTCACATTTGAAAGTTACAACACTCAAATTTCAATGCAAAGGCAAATACTTTCTTTTGCAGAATTTGCTTTATTTTTAAGGCTTCAACAATTAGTAAAAAGTTTCTTCCTGAGTTTGTAACCTTTCTGGATAATTTGCACTTGGCCTGCATTCCAGTCCAATGTTTTTTTTGCTCTTCGCTGACTATCTTCCATCTCATTCCCTCAGATGCACGTCATTAATTACATTGTGTTTCGTGTTAACTACTGGCAGAACATGACCTAGCGAGGTCAATCTCTCAGATTCAAGATTGAACCAAAACAAATGGTAACACTTTATTTTGATGATCTATTTAAGTATTAGTGAACTGTCTGCTTATCTGCTGATACTGCTCCTTCAAAAGACATTAAACTGACCATAAGAAACTTTGCAAGTACATGTCAACTTACACTAACCCTAACCCCAACCTAACAGTCTACTTATAATCTAATGAGAATTAGTTGGCATGTAGATGCAATGCAACTTAATTCAATAAACGGACCATCAGAATAAAGTGTGACCAAACAAACAATTACGATTGGCTAATATTGGCAATGAAAATGGACTTTAACCGACATGCTAAGAGCTGTGAAAAAATAAAAATACTACTGGCAGAAGATCTGAATAGGTTTATATGGAATGAACTAAAACCTTGAGCACTTGTAAACAACACTGTTGTATTGTCACAATCGCATTGCATTCCGAATGGCTGCCTCAGTCAAAATTTAGGGATCGAGGGTATGTCCATGTAAGCTTCCCTCATTCACTTGATAAAGTGGAACGCACTTTAAAATGGCAGCAGGGATTCCCTTAAGGGAACAGGGGGAAGGGAAGTTTGCGAGTGTATTTCTAAAAGTGAAATGGAATGCAGCATAGGTGATCAGTGAATTTAAACAGTGTTTCTCATCCACGTTCATGGAGGACCACCAGCGCTGCATATTTTCCACACTGTAAAACCCAAAAAGTGAAGGTAACTCGAACCCTTTTAGTAAACCGATTGCAACAAACCATTTAAGTTCAAAAACTAATTCTAATGAATACTGTGAACTTAATCCATCTGAGTAAACGAAGCAATTTGAGCACAGTAAAACCCAATAAATGAAGAACTCAAACCAACTGAGCCCTGTAAAACCCAATAAGGCAACTCAAACTGTTTGAGGAAACCGATTTCAACATACCATTTGAGTTTAAAAAAACGAATCTATATGAGTACTGTGAACTTACTTTTTTAATTTGAAGTAATGAAGTATTTAATTGAGTTAAATAACTCAAACTCTTTTCAAATGAGTAGAATTAACTTTCAGTAAATTATGAGTTAACTACACTCATTTCAATTGATAAAGTTGACTGTTGGGTTTTAGAGTGCATGTTTCCTTAACCAAACACACCCGGTTCAGATCATTAGCTCATTAGCAGAGATTGAAAGACCTGTAATGGGTGTTAAAGACAAAGGAGACATCCAAAACATGCAGTGTTGGTGATTTTCCAGGAACGTGGTTGAGAGACACTGAATTAGAACACACTGGGCTTCATAGAGCCAGGAAATATATTTGGTGAAGAGATGGACTATTTTTCGGAGAATAGAAATACCTGAATAAAATAACAGCAAAATTTGTAATTTAAAACAACAACAACATAACACAAACACTTTACACCAGTGTTTCTCAACCACAATCCTGAAGGATCACCATCTCTGCACATTTTCCATGTCTCCTTAACCAAACACACTCAATTTAGATCATCAGCTTATTAGCAGAGTCTGAAAGACCTGTAATTGGTGTGACAATGTAGACATCTAGAACATGCAGTGCTGGTGGTCCTTCAGGAACGTGGTTGAGAAACACTGATTTACTATTTATAACACTCTATAACATAAACAAAATTCGTAAATAGCTGACTGAACGAAAAAAACAAAACAAACAAAAACGCTTTATGAATTATGATGTACGTGTCTCGAAATAAAGTTTCTTACCATTTACTAGCACTCAAGTGGTTCTATACGTTTATGATTTTTTTCTTGTTGATTACAAAAGAAGATATTTTGAAGAATGTTGTAAACCAGCATCCATTTACATTCATTGCAGGATCAAAGTATACTATGAAAGTTAACGGCTGTTGCTTTCCAACACTCTTCAAAATATTTTATTTTGTGTTCAACAGAAGAAAGAAACTCAAGAGGTTGGGTAAATGATGTCTGAATTGTCATTTTTGGGTGATCTTTCTCTTTAGAAATTTGATTAGGGTGACATTTAGCTTATCTAGCTATTCTTACCTTTTGTTCACTTTCCACTTTGGCCCGTCTTGCCAGGCAAAACCTCTCCCACACAGCTGGATCTAAACCTTCCAGCATGTGCTCTGGAGCGTCCAACTCCTCCATGGCCTTCATCATCAAAGAGAGTCCATCAGATGGTGCTGCCCCTTCTTTAAATGGGTTATTTTCAGTCTGTGTTTTCATCCTCTGAACCCTGTCAAACAACACCTTTACTCAGTTAAGACCGGACAAACACTTATGAACAAACAAGCTGCAAATCTTCTGAAATAATACCTTGGTCTGCGTTTGTAAAGTTTATATAGCTGGTCAATTGAGTGTCCAGGGACATCATAAAACTCTTTGCGGAATCCTTTGTCAAGTAGCTATAAATTAGGAAGATGGTTGGATGAGACTTTTTTTGGCGAGAACATTATGGATATGCATATGCAAGATATGTTTGTAATCTTACTTTGTCCTCAGCGACTGTGTTATCATACGCCTCTCTAAACTCATCAACAGTCTCCTTGTGTTTTTTCAATTCCTCCCCAATTTCATTCTGTCAGTAAAGAGAGGTGACTCATACACTCCAACATGTGCAAAACAGTCGCTCTCAAAGAAACGGATTAGTGTGCTGCACAAGTTTGTTCTTGCATGACATTTTTGTCATAATCAAGAACATTATAATTGAAAGTTAGAACTGCCAATTTCTGATGTTGTAGAGTTACTGTAAACATGCAACGTCACTGCTGAATAAGAGATAAGAGGCAATTCATTATACAAACGAAGATCACCTTTTTAATTCGTGCCTTTTCTAGTTTAAAGCTTAGCTGTTTCTCTCTGGTGAGGATCTCTTCTTCTGTTTGAATGGAAAGAACCAGATTTGCAATCTTGAGCTCCTCCTGAAAAATAAAGTCACTATTGATTAAGTAATAGATGAGCAGTTAAAGGGTAAATTCACACAATAAAAATGATACCATTATCATTTATTCATCCTGTTGTTTTTATAAGACCTGCTCTTATTTATCAGTACAGTTGAAATATTATTTAAAAAAAAAAGCGAAATTTAGATTTTTAAAAATCAAAAGTGATCCCAAGCCGAGCAAGAACATTTTACTGTATTTACAATGACATTTTTTTCTTCTGAAGAAGTCTTGTTTCTTTAGTTTGGATGGATTAAAAATCATTATAAATATTTTTAAATAATTTAATATTATAAATAATTAAATTACAATATTATTAGCCCCCTTAAGATTTTTTTTCAGTTGGCTACTTAACAACCCACAGTTTTGCATTAACTTGCCTAGTTAACCTAATTGTCCGAGTTAAACTTTTAAATCACACTTTAGCTGAATGCTAGTATTTTGCTTAATAACTAGTAAAATATTATATAGTGTTATCATGGTGAAGACAAAAGAAATTCGTTAATAAAATTAGTTATTGAAAATATTGTTTAAAAATGAGTTGAAAAAATATTTCTCTGTTAAACATCACCTGGGAAATAATTAGTAAAAAAAATAGAATGTAAAAAATTATCAGGAGTGCTAACAATAGTGATCAGCATGAAGCGAAAGTGTCACAGAATGAAACATTCTAAAAGTTCTAGGGGTTTATGATGATGTTTGGAAAAATAGTAGTGCATAATTTAGCAAAAATCCTGACCTTTGCTCATTTTAATTAGTTTAGAAAAATAGCATACATTTTGTTAAAACGTGACACACAATACAATCCATGTACTTTGTTTTACTGAGTTTATCACAATAGTATTAATGGAGCATATTGTTAGCTCAATTAGACATGTTAGTCAAGCTTGCATCAGCTGACAGTCAGCTGGTCATCTGTCACAGTGGTCTATTTAAAATCATACATCATATCTCTCTTCAGCTTTTAGTTGCTCACAAATTCTATACTCCCTTCATCGTCCCCAACTCCTCCTAGCTCATTTCTGATATCTGTACATAGTATTATCCATAGTATTAGTATATGCTACTCAGCTTTATGTCTCTAAATTGTTTATAAACACTTTTGGATTCTATTCTGTTATCTTCTCTTTGACTTGCTGCTGCTCTCCCCACTCTGTCCATCCACGCCTGCATGGACACGTCCATGGAGTTTTGCCCAGAACAGAACCATCCCGCCAACTCTAACTGCGTGATCAATCAATCAATCAATCAATCAATCAATCAATCAATCAATCAATCAATCAATCAGTCAGTCACTCTGTCTGTCTGTCTGTCTGTCTGTCTGTCTGTCTGTCTGTCTAAATTTGACGAATTTGATCCTAATCGAATTTATATGTTAACTGTCATTCATCTGACAACTTTACTCAGAAACAGGGTTTGTAAATAATGTTCTGTTTTTATTACCCTGATTCATCAAAATAGTGGATTTTATCTAGTCAGATTGACATTGACACTAAAAGCAGAATGCAGTTCTGAAAAAAGATAAATAACCATTAGTCAGGACTTTATTTACATTAAATGTCATTTTTTAGTCCATAACATATAACCATAAACACTTGGAAAATAGTGTGCATGTCCAATGGCAGAATTTTATTTTTTCAAATCTTTGTTTATTTGGCTATAAATTCCTAATCTAAAGAGAGGATTGGGAGAGGGAGTGCAATGGGTAGTAAATTGAAAAATGTTTGTTCTGTGGATTGGAATTGGGTAGTAATATTTTTAAATTACTGCAAAGATTGTATGGAGCAATCTAGAGTACACGGTCCACTTGGACCAGATATTTCTAAATACATTAATTTGGAGTTGAAGGGAGAATGTCCATTTTTACATCACATAAATATCACATACTATTTCTAGCCTTTCTTGGGTTGTTGGGGATTCAGAAAGTAACCAGTGTCTTGTAATTGTTTTTTTTTTTTGGCCTTGATTTTTAAAATATCAATTAAGTATTTTTTAGATTTCAAAAATCTTATTAGACATTTGCATCCAAATTCTCTCCACTTATGTCAGATAGTACATTTTGATGTAAATCTACATTTGTCCAACCATCATCGGAAATAATGACATTACTTGCCTTTTCCCATTTTCTTTAACATATTCCATTGTGTGGGGTTTATTCGATCTAAATCCTTTATAATAGATATAGTTTTAAAAATAATTTCAAATGTTAAAGAAAAGCAAATCCCACATTGCAGCTATAATTATTAAGACACAGAGGTACGTTATTGGAAATACTTTGACAATAATGAAAAAAAGCTGATTAATGATAAAAACACAGATAGCCACAGATAGAATGTTACTGTGTTGGTGTGGACTCATCCTTTTATTTTCATTCTTTTTCTTATCGCTTAGTCTCTCAGAGGAATGATCCTCCAACTTATCCAGCACATGTTTTTACACAGCGGAATGAACAGGCCATTAATATTACGTAATTACATTGTTGGCGGGTCCTTCAAAAATATAAAGCAGTGTTGTATCCTCTTACTTGGTATATGACCATCTCTGATTTCACCTTCCTTTCAAACAGCTTGGCAAGTTTTTCGTCAAACATCTGAGTAGCCTCTTTAATAGATGTAAGCAGTTTCTTCATCTCTGTCTCCAGTGTCTAGAAGAACACAGTTACAGAAAAAGGGTCTGCTGTGTTGAAATGAAGATGATTTTTTGTCAATGACACCAAGCATTTGCTGTGAATTACTTTAAAGCACTAGCTTTAAATATCCTTGAATGCAAGTAAGATTTTGTGACATCTTTTTCATACAAAAAATATACTGAATGCCTTCAGAAGATTTCTAATAATACCTTTAATGTTGCTTTTTGTATATTTTCAGAGTTTGGCAATTCAAATAAAAAAAGAATTATACAAAGTTCATACTATCCCTTTAAGGTTTAAGTGATCAAAGTCATACTTTTCTATATTTCTCTTGCTCTTCACTGAGCTCCTTTGCTTTTTTCTCAAACTCTTTGAAGCTCTTTCTCTCTTCTTCTGTCCACTGGGCCTCAGGTTTAGACATGAACTCAGGCTGAGGTACTTCCTGTAAATTCAGAATATATTTAATAGTATCTTTATTTCCTTTTATCTCCTTTTTAGTAAGTTTATGCTTTCCATTAAGATGAGTTTTTCAAGCTTACCATCCTCAGCACATCCTCTTTCTTAAGCTCCAGAACGCCACCCATCATCACACTGAGTCCTTGATCTCTCATGTTTTCAGACTGCAATGGAAATGAGAACAGTTCAGCTATAACATAATACATTGTATATTTTACAATATCAGTAAATATAAGATCATTTTCAAATTGCAGTTTAAGTAATTAGTTCCCCCGAACTGTTAATAATTACTCACCCTCGTGTTTTTCCAAATCTCATTAGATCTTTATTAATCTTTGGAACACAAATTAAGATATTTTAGACGAAATACAAATCTCTCTCATCCTCCATAAACAGCAATGCTGCTGAGATATTTAAAGTAAAGGAAAAACAAAAATTGTACAAACATTGCACATCACGTGGTTCAACTGTAATCATGTGAAGCCCCAAGGACACTTTTGTGCACCAAAACTGCAAAAACTAATTTGTTTGTCTGTTTCTTTCATATTAGATTAGGGTACGCATTTACTATGAACAATATGACACTTGCGTCTTGCACTGATGACTTTACTGTCAGTATGTTGTACCAAAGATATATAAAATACACAAGACATGTCACTTGTATAGTTTTGAATAGGGAAAAGTGTAACAGTCCCAATGACGAATGAGCCCCGCCTACTAGTACAGGAGCCAATCATCGATAACTATAGTCTGACGTTTCTGTGGGTGAGAAGCTCGGACCAGATGTGTGCTTTTACAACAGTTTTTGTGGTCAAACTGGAATGTCAGCGAATACATGCTTTACAGACATAAGAAATATATGCATATAAAGCTCGAGTCTGACAGCATGTACTCAAACGCCCACAAACTTGTAAATAAAAAGTCTCTATTATTTTTGTAGGAGATTGGGCAGTAAGTTGTGAATGACTTCTGAAGACCAGTGCGATCTGACAAAGCATTATCCAGAGAATAATAATGTGTAACATGACCGTAAATGAGGTTGGTGTCGCGAACTTAAAAAAATGCTGATTTTATTTAATTCTAATGTTTAGAAATGAAACTTAAAAGACGTTTTTTAAATTTTATTGGTGATTCCAAATATGTAATGTAATCGTAAGCTTAGCAAACGGTTTTGATTAAGTATTTGAAGTTTCCCCATTCAGACAGAATGCCAGAGTATACTGCCCAAGAGGCCTTTCAAAGATGCTCGTCGAGTGAAATGACCTAACTTAAAGAGACTTTGGTTGTACTGCCGATAGTAAATGTGCACCCTGATCATGTGATCTGATCAAAGTAGTTTTTACAGTTTTTCTAGTGCACAAAAATGATCTTGGGGCTTCGTATGATAACAGTTAGACCACTGAAGTAACATGAAATGTATTAACAATGTTTTGTTTCTATGAATGGTCAAAAAGCACTTGGATTTCCAACAAAATATTACTTTGTGTTTCAAACTGACTAACAGGGTTTGGAACAACACGAGGGTGAGGAATTATTAACATAATTAAATGTTTTGGGTGAACCAACCCTTTGTTGTGAATGATTGTAATGTATGATTCTACAGTAAAAGTAAAAAAGGTTTTGTAAGATTTTAAAATGCTTTTAAAATAAGTTTTCATGTTCACCAATGCTGCAGTTATTTAAGCAAAATACAATACATTCAGTTCAGCAGCATTACTTCAGTGCAGTTTTATATGACCCTTCAGAAATACTTTATTTATCATCTACATTGAAAACAATTGTGCTGCTTAAGATCTTTATTATCTGATTACTTAAGATCCTTCATTTGATCACTTTAATGCATCCTTACTGAAAGTGTTAATTATAACATTAATTATAACATTTCTAAAAATAATTGTAACATTTAAAAATAATGAACTTTATATGTACACATAAGGAAAAGATTAATGATTAATACAATTCTATCACTGTAATAAAAATTATTGTTTGTGCTAAACACAGGTTATGGGAAAAAATAGCTAGAACACCAGTTGTGAGGTACAGTAATGTCATACTTTGGCTGCAAGCCGTTGCCGTTCTTCTTCCTCTCTGAGTTTTGCTTCTTTTTCTTTCTGCTCGAGGGTGAGGTATTTCTCAACCTTGATCTAGAAACACACACATAAATTCCCTGTCAGGCCCATTCACTACAATAAAAAACATAATAAGTTTGGCATAATAACATGAATTATATTTTATGTATAAAAAAAACTATTTTAGTTTCAAAGCCATAAAATAGGTCCATGTTTAAACTTGTTGGGTAACGCTGGTAAAACATCTAATGGTTGGACCAATGAAAGTAAGATAACCGAATTTTATTTTTTATAACTGTCTGTTTTACCTCTGAGTCGGTCACAGTGAGAGCTCTCTCAGGACACTCATTATCAGTGAGTCTAGGCTCCCAGAGGGTCTCACTTATGCCCAGCTTGGCCATAATCTGAAAGATACGCTTGTTCTTCTCTTTGGTTCTGTGGATTTCCTGTTCCTTCTGCTTGTAAACTGCCTCAAATTCTTTGTTGAATGCACTCTTAACGTTGTATATAACATCCTTCATAAAACAACCATAAAAGACACAAATTAGTTGACATGTCAGCTTTTTAATGTGTATTTGAAACTTTACCAAGACAAGCAGAGAACTCCTCACCTTGAGCAAGGTGATTTGGTTGATTTTCTGCTCTCTTACGTGTAAGTTAAACTGGTTGTAGAGATAAGGGTTGACACCGCCATATAGAGAGCTCAGACTGCCGGTTAGAGCAGGACTCTCAGTCAAACTGACCTCTTCCTCTTTGTCTCCAAAGAGTGTATCCAAAACCCCCTCCTGAAGCTATGAAAAATGATTATATTATTTGTGACACTAGCATTCACAGAACACTGTGCATTCTGCGTCATGGTACGGTGCGTTTTGTTCAGTACCATGTTAGGGTTTGGTTGCTAAGGATAAACCTATTCCAGAAACTGACTCATTATTGTTTGAGTAATGCACTGTACACTTACTTGTGAATCCTCCTGTTCAATCTGCCTCATGTTCTCAACCATACGAAGCTCTTCAAGTTCTTTTGCAGTGCGTTCCTTCATTGGGTAGTTTTTCACCTCGTTTTCTGAATGAAAAGCCTGAGGCAACAAAGAGCACAAAAAGACACTGACACTTGGCAGCTGTATAGTAATTCTAGTACTTACAGGTGAGCCAGGTGAAATCTGTGGATGTGGATATTGTTACAGTTTTTCTCCATATAATTGTTTCTTTTTTTGGGGTAGAGACCTTAATGGCTTTCCCTTTGACTTGCATAGAATCCCAGCATTCTCTCTTCAAGACTTCTCTTTGATAGGACTTGGCCAGATTCTCCATCTCGATCTCCTTTCTCACCTTAACAACACAAACACAAACATATATAGTCATTCATTTTTTTTTGGGCTTAGTTCCTTTAATCTCCATTAATCTGAGGTCACCACAGCGGAATGAACCGCCAACTTATTCTGCATATGTTTTACACAGCGGATGCCCTTCCAGCTGCAACCCATCACTGGGAAACATCCAAACACACTTATTCACACACATACACCACGGACAATTTAGCTTAACCAATTCACTTATAGCTCATGTCTTTGGACTTGTAGGGGAAATCGGAGCACCCAGAGAAAACCCATGCGAACACGGGGTGAACATACAAACTCCACACAGAAACACCAACTGACCCAGTTAAAGCTCAAACCAGTGACCTTCTTGCTGTGAGCCGATCGTGCTACCCACTGCACCACCTTGCAGCCAATACATACATGCAAATGCAAATATATACATGCAATATACATGCATTAAAAAAAATATATTTTTTTATATATTTTTTTTTCTTTTTTAAGTATGTACCAAATTAATTTCACAGTATTTTCTATAATATTTTTTCTTCTGGAGAAAATCATACTAGTTTTGTTTCGTTAAAAAGTTTTGTTAAAAAACATTTTAAGGTCAATATTATCAGCCCACTTAAGCAATGTTTTTTTCAGATTGGCTACAAAACAAACCACTGTTATACAATGACTTAATTAAAATGCCTAATTACCTTAACTTGCCTAGTTAACCTTATTAACATAGTTAAGTCTTTAAATTGAATTTTAAGCGAAATCAAGGGCGTAGACTAGCTCTTGACATCCCTAAAGCGCATGCATTGCGCAAATTGTTTTTGCGCTTTTAAAAACATGACTAAAGTACTTAATAATATAAAATTAACACTTAATAATACAAATAACAATTAACAAATGACATCCCATGCTGCAAAAGTCAATATACATGATTTTACTGCAATCTGGCTTTAAGATTGTATGAATGAAGAGAAATTCAGAGAGGTGTGTAACGCAATTTAACGGTTTTATCCTGATTATTATTTTTCATAATCATGGAGGCCCAAATCGAAACTTCGATTAATTGCACAGCCTTGGTTAATAGTATTATAGTGAACTCATAGCAAGCTTGACTTTAACCCTTTGTGCTCAAATAGGTTACTAAGGGTTGATGGAGTATGATTTTATTTTGAAGTTAACTAAATTATTGGTAGGGACATTTACATCTACTAAGTCCTAGAGCTAAATACTAATATTTGAAAAAATATAATGTACTGTCATCATGGCAAAGATTAAAAAAAATAAGTTATTAGAAATTAGTTATGCGGTGTTAGTAAATTGAATAAGCTGAATTGGTGGTAGTGTATGAGTGGTTGTGAATAGATCCTTTTTACATGACATCAAGTGGTGTGCGGTTTTACTCCACACAGTGTATCGTTACTTCCGCCTACACAAAACTCCCCATTGAGAACTCACCTAGTCAGCTGGATATTTACTACAGAGATGGTTAGACTGACTACAGCTGTTTTCTGTTGTCTGCATTCAAGGTGAGACAACTGACATCTAAAAAAAACTTGCAGGTCAGCCAGATTTACGTTTGAACAGAGAAAATGGAACTTTAAACTAATTGTATTGCTTTGTGTTGCTGTCTTTACTGTAGATGAAGTTGGTATGCACTTGACAGTATTTATCAAAAAAAGATTTCAGATGTTTACATGGTTGCTGAATATTTTTTATGTCAATTTGTTTTATTCTTTCTTTTGTGTCCTAAAGAATAAGTAATAAATAAATATGTGGGTGTTTTATTGTGTTTGTTAACAGTGGACAGCTGATTCACAAACATTTATATTATTCACATTCTACTGTTGTCTTTGCTGCCATTTTTTTTCTATATAGGTATTTCATTTATGAACATAAAACATTTATGTCTATTTAGTATTCATATTAAATTAATTAGAATAACCGTGTTGTATGTGTCTCTTAATGTACAAAAATGTACAGCTGCAAAAATTACACCAACAAGATTGTATTTTAATTCAGTATTATTAGATTATGAAATTATTTGTAACATTATTAATTAAAAGGTAGTTCAGATATCAAATTAAGGGACACTGTCTTAATTCATTAATATTAAGAAACTGAAAAAAACATTAGTGGATCACTAAATAATTAATGATGAAACTGATTGCATTTATAGACAAAATACTTACCAGGTATATGTGAAGATTTAATAAAGAGTTTTACTCATGCTGGAACATTTACATATAACAGATAATATACATTCATATTCATTGCAGCATCAAAGTAAAAATAAATCAAAAACTTAATAAGTGAAAAGGTTGCAAACATCCTTATTCCTATTCTTAATAATTTAAACAGTCATTTTCAAACTTAGAAAGCTGATTAGTATTGAAACAGAAACATTCAGACACATGGTCAAATTTTTTATAGTCTTAAATCACAACGTGCAATGTTAATATTTTCAGTTGTAAATTTTCCAGAGAAGTATCCCATTCATTCAAAGGTAAACTGGAACTAAAAATACATTGCGTTGGATCTATTGGGATAGTGTGTGCTTGTTTCCCAGCTCTGGGGCTTCACGAGTTGTTCATTAATGTAATCTCAGTGCTGGGTTGCTGCTAGAAGAGCTTCCAGTGCATAAAACATATACCAGAGTAATTGGTGGTTCATTCCACTGTGGCAACCCCTATTAAATCCGGGACTAAGCTGAAAGATAGTGAGTAAAAGTTGTGTTTACCCTGTTGACTTCCTGATCTCCCTCGAGCTGCAGCCTCTGCTGCTCTTCCACATCCAGGTTAAATTCCTGTTGCTCAAGTTTCTCTATGTCTGCCAGACTTTCATTCTCCTCCATCATAGCTTTAATCTTGGATTGATCCAGAAACAAAGAATATTAAAACTTAATATTTGAATGTTTGGAATCAAATGATTAATATTGAAACAAATGAGAAAGTTTTAACAAAATAAAAAAAATTAAAAATAGAAGATTCTTTCTCTTACTGTATCACGAAGAACCTTTATGTTTCTTCTTAGGTTCTTCTTGGTTTCTGCATACTGCTGGGCTTCCTCTTGGAGAACCTGATGAAATACCACATATTCCTTTAAATAGTTATATTTCACTTATTATGTTTCTCCCTGAAGTAAGATCCTTGAGGTTGTGGCATTTAATAAAATATATAAAAAAATATTAATTAAATATTCATTACTTTCTATAATTCATTGATCTCAATCATTTCAATAGTATCTTATTTTGGGGAGTAATTCATTAAATAATATGAATATAATATAATTTTTACTGAAATTATCCCAGACAAGGTTATGTAGCAATGTTATATAAGATTAAAATACCTTTCCCTGTACCACATAGGTGATAAACATCTAATCTGTTAACATAAATAAGTTCTGTAATTACTGGAGTTTTTTCCATCTCCTGGAGACTTATGATCAACCATGGTTTGTGCTGCAAGCTGAAAAGAATTAGCTGCTGCCAACAAATGATGTAGTATGTATATTAAGGAACGATAACGCAAGGTGACATAATATTGATAATTTAATTAAGCACAATAACATATAAATAAATTCAAAGACAAGAACTAACCGCGTCAAGTTTCCCATCAAGCCAAGTATAACTAGTTGGGGATGTAAAATAGTTTTCCTCTTGTTCAGCTTCGTGACTCATCTTTCCCTTAAGACTGACCTGCGGGAAGAATTCCGAGACAGTTTATTATTTTGTATCCCAGTGAACAGAATATTTCCTCAAGTAAAACTGCTAGGTACAATATTGTGTCTAAATATTATTTAAACGATAGAAAATGCTGTGTTTCTATACCTCTCCTGTATGAAATGAATCCCGGTCGGTCATTTTGGTGAGGACAGTGTTTTCTGATGAAACCACTGACTCAAAAGAATCAGCAACAGACTGAGAATACTGGGTAGCTGCATTTGCTTTGCCAACTCCAGAAAGCTTCAACCTGTTCAATTTGAATGCATTTTAAATCTTCAGTTTCATAAGCATTTTCAAATCTTCACCTTTACAACCAATAAAATGTATTTTCTTATATATAAACAATCAATAGAACATTTAATCTATACTGTAAATAAATAGAATCATTTATTGTGTTAATATATAACAGTATACATACATTCATACATAAATATTTGGACATTAACACAATTCTAACATTCGAATTTGAAATGAAACAAGCAAAATGTGCTTTAACTGCAGACTGTCAGCTTGAAACTGCAGTCACACTGTACATTCCCCCCATAGACTTCCATTCATAAACATGTAAATGCATCAGACAGGAAACGTAAGCTTGTGCAAAAAGTTTCGCAGTTTGCTGCGTTGGAAAGTTCAACCTTGGTGAACTTAGACCTGCAAAATCGCATCACATGATTGCGTGAGACCAATCGAAGATCAAAACATGACCTCTCTGGACTGAAATTTAAAACATGGACCAATCGCTCAATTTTTTTTAATGTCTTGTTTAGTCCCAGCCCTTTTCGCAGTACGGTACAACATAATTTCGTACACCCAAACTCTAGTGTTGCCGCAGCATTAATTTGAGGGTATTTACATCTAAATCAGGTGAACGGTGTAGGAATTACAACAGTTTGCATACGTGCCTCCCACTAGTTAAGGGTCCAAAAGTAATTGGACAATTGCCTTCTAAGCTGTTCCATGGCCAGGTGTGTGTTATTCACTCATTATCCCAATTACAATCTGCAGATAAAAGGTCCAGAGTTCATTTCAGGTGTGCTATTTGCATTTGGAGTCTGTTACTGTCATAACAAGTAGGAGGCACATATGAAAACTGTTGTAATTCCTACACTGTTTACCTGATTTAGATGTAAATACAGTCTGCAGTTAATGCATATCTTGTTTGTTTCATTTCAAATTGATTGTGTTGGTGTATGGAGCCAAAAATGTTAGAATTGTGTCGATGTCCAAATATTTATATAGATAACTGTATGTGTGTGTGTGTGTGTGTGTGTGTGTGTGTGTGTGTATATATATATATATATATATATATATATCATCTTCTTCAAAATCCTGCTATTTTAATACTTTTTAAAAATGTTTTATCCACTATATGTTATTGTATTATTGTATAATACAATATACATTACCTCAAGAAAGAAGAATTAACTATTTCAATTACATTTAAAAATGTGGTGCAAATTTTAGATACTTTTCGTTTACAGTATCAGCATATAGCCATAAATGCCCCATCCTTATATTACAGAATATTAAAAACGTTTCTCATACATAGAAACATATTCTGCATAATATTGCTTTTTCTTTTCCAGTGGATTCCTGTATATTTTGATTTCGTAAGGGCAAAAAGAGAAATATTGCTACAGATCAAAGATCTGTTGAAAGATCTGTCCATTTTTGTAGACCTCTGCGCTCACCTGCTGCAGACAAGTGAGCCGTCTCTTAGGCCTGAGGTGATGATGGTCTGACTGTCTGGGGTGAAACAAACAGACCCGACTCCACCCTGCCAACATGAGTGGCACTGCAGCTGCACATACCTGTCCTGAACGTCAAAGGTATGCACATTAATATTAAACAGTTATTTGGGCAGTTTCTGAGAAACATGTTGTTCCTAGCCCAGCGCTCATAAACATGGGCGAACTTGCAGATTTAAAAGCAAATACCATTTCTGAGATCTCACAGATGCGTAGCAGCCCGTCTCTGCCAACCGATGCCAGCCAGGTATGATGTGGAGAAAGCTGGAGAAATGCAGGACTCAATAAATGGCCTCCTGTCTCCTTCTCTGGAATCAGCTGAACTACATTATTAGGGTTTTCTCCATTCTGCATATCATTTCATAAGAAGCAGTTAAGAGCACCTCCAGAAACACATAATAAAACTGTCATCAAACTGTGGGTGTTGTGTGACATAAAAGCACCTCAGGGATACTGAATCTTTGCAGGACTTTTCTTTGTTGGCAGTAACCAAATATCTTGTTTACGGCCAGTACACAAGAGCAGAGAGAGTTAGGGAGCTCCAACACACAGCTGTCAAACACTTCTTTACGCAGACAGCCATGGGCATCCATACAACTGGTTGATTCTGGAAGTGACAAGACATTATGAGAATGAGTTATGATGTATGTCCATAATCTCATTTAAAAAAAATGACAATGTGTTTTTTTTATATTTCTCAGTAACCTGTGAGCTGTTGCGCAAATAATGTCAGTAGCAGAAGCACATTTCCCTCGCTGATTTCTTTCTCTGATTTGTTGCATAAAACCAGAACTTTAATCTGTTTACTTTCTTGGTGGTACTGAGTGGAGAGGCCTACGATCGCACCTGGAGCCTCTGAAAAAAGATTAGTTAGAAATGATTTCAAACTGTAGGCAAAAAAGTTAAATACTCTTCCCCAGCAGATACACAACATCATTAATACATTAATATTAGGTTAGATTTAGGTCACCAGTGTCTAAGGACAATATTATTTTGAGGTCCAATAACAACGTGTTGATTTTAGATTGTGTTGAAAAGTGCCCAAAATCCAACGTTGAACTAACATCTTAAACCAATATCATATTGTAATCAAATTTATTATACATTTATTCGTCAGGTATGGCAACCAAAATCCAATGTCTGATAGACATCATATTGGTAATATCGGCACAAGCTGTAACATTATTAGATGTTAATATTTTGTTGTTTTTAGGTTGCGTTGAAAATTAACCAAAATGCAACATCTGTCAAATGTTTGACATTGTCTTTGACGTCGACCTGATGTTGGGTTCTGATGTCAACCTGATTTTCATTTCCAAACAAAAAACAACGTCCTACAACGTTGGGGTACAACGTCAGTCTGATGTCATGTTGACGTCTTGTGCCTGCTGGGACTGTTCAAAAGTTTGAGTTTGGTTAGATTTTTATTTCTTTTACGCTCATCAATGCTTTCTTATATAAATTATTCAATAAAAATAGTAATATTGTGAAATGTTTTCTAATTGATTACATTTTAAAATGTCATTTATCCATGTGAAGGCAAAGCTGAAATTTCAGCAGCTTTTACTCAATCCTTGTTGTCACATGATCTTTCAGATATAATTCTAACAGATATTTTTTATTAAAAAAAAGCATGCACAAAAAGTACACATATATGATATACACACACACACACACACACACACATATATATATATATATATATATATATATGAAAAGGCAGCAAAGAAGATGTGAGAGCAAAGAAAGAGACTTGAGACATGCCCTCTGGTCCTGTTCTAAAATACAGAAATTCTGAGTTAAAGTGAACATGTATTGCAAGAAAAATAAATCAATAAAAATAAATACATATTTGGGAGACCCGTTGATGTTGGGGTCTGGTGTAAAGATGTTTGAGTGGATTCAAATAAGTATTATGATTGATAGACAAATCATTATGAGTGGATGGCGTTTAGCAGGTCAACCATCATTTCAAGAATGGGTTACGGGATTAGCAAATGCGGCAGCATATGGAAAAAATGACATGTAGATTACTTGATAAATTGTATGTTTATCAGAGAATATGGGGAAACTATTTGGCATTTTTGGAAACCAAATAAGGTCACAGTGGTGAGACGCACGGTAAAAGTAATTATCTTATTTGATAATATATTATTTATCTATATTTGGATAAATGATTGCAACATCTAATTACAGTAACTGTCGCTGTTGGGGAGGGGAGGGGAAGGGGGGTGTTAAATGGAGGTAAAAATGTCTTAACTAATGGAACGGTTAAGTTAATGAACAAAATAAAAAAATTAATGAATCTTAAAAAAAAGGTTATCTATTGCCTTTTTAAGTGATTAAAACAGATATTTTAGAAGCATATCTCAACAGTTGTGCTCCTATATATTTTTTGGAAATCATAATGCAATTTTTTTCATGATTTGTTAATTAAAACGTGTTAAAAGAATGTATATTTTCTACCATTGTTGCATTAAGCTATGTTGCAAAATGATCAATGATAAATTACCAATCCATCCGATAATATCAAATCCTTTTGATGGTCTTGAATCCAGCACAAACACACGTGAGTCTGACGCCCCTGTGATTAAGCAGTTGCCACCTTGATCAAATCTGTTAAACAAACAAATAATAATAATAATACAGTCTGCTCAACATTCACTTCACATTCTTCCCCTTCACAAGAAATATGATATAATACTGTAGCTGTGAAACTCACACCAAATGGTCTACAGGGACGTGGTAGAGATGAACTCTGTGAACTAGTCTGGGCTTCTGTTTTGTGGTCATCTCCACAAACAGCACATCTCCGGTGGCAGTCCCTACCACAATGTACTGCGCTATGGGACAGCATGCCATACTAGTTACCTGAAGTAAAGTCACACCAAATGACAAACATTTATGTACTGATTCACTTGTTTTACGAAAAATAGTGTGTGTGTCATACAAAACCTCAAATACAGCACTAACGTGAGTTTGCAGAGAGATGGAGCCCATGCAAAGTCCATCATCCAGAGTCCAAAGCTGTACAACTCCTGCTTCTCTAACTGACTGAATAAATGGAGATGCACATGCCTTATTAATATTTAAAACCACTGAATTAAACACTTTTCATTCCAGATCTGCCTTGCATTCTACTTTTTACTATATTAAAGTAATATATGTATTATAATTACCAAACAAATGCTTCTATCAGTGTAAACTGGAGCAACAGTCACAAAATCTCCACAAAGGACATCCAGGACTTTGACAGCTTTATCCTTTAGCAGTGGTTTGAATCTGTAAACACAGCCCTAAGAAAGAAAACTAAAAGATTTTAAGCATTCTCGTGAATTTCCTTTCTTTTATAAGTTCTGCATTGTGTTTTAATAAAAATACAAAGTCTGTAACAGGTTTTCTAATAACATTTTAATTGAAAAATAATAATAATAATTTATCTATTATAATCTATTATGCCATTTTTGGATCTCAGGTGTCCCAGATTGTGATGTTTCAGTTTAAAATATTTATTTATATTTTAATTATTCATTCATTCATTTCCCTTGGTCAATTTATTCATTAGGGGTCACCACAGCAGAATGAACCGACAACTTATCCAGCAAGTTTTACACATCGAATGCCCTTCCAGCTGTAACTCAGTACTGGGAAATATTTTATTATTTATTTTTTCTTCATTTTCCTGCATTTTGATTCTCCCCTTGTCTCGCTTGCCCGTTTTTTGTTGTTTCTATAATATTCTAAAATGTAATAAATATATTTTAAAACCAAAATTGTGTAAAAAGCACAATAGGACCCATGTAATATACAGGATATTATTTTCCTGTATAAGTTGATTTACATTAACGTTATTTTAGCCAAAAAAAAAACATCAAAAATGACACTGACAGTGTAAGAACAATAAAAAAACACTTACTGTATTAGAAGTTAGCAGCAGTGTCTCACCATCAGGAGAAAAGCACATAGCAGAGGCTGCCTCTTCTAAAGCCCAGGTCTGCACAACCTCCAGTTTGTTTCCTTTAATTTGTATGCTTCGTAAAACACTTTCCTGTAATCATTTAGATTTTTTTTTGAATCAGGGTGAAATAATGTCTCAGTTGAAGAGAGAGTAGTTTGTAGTTTCGGAGCTATTATTAGGGTAAAAATAAATAACAGTTTTTACCATTCCTGCAGCAAAGAGTTTAGAGTCTTGGAGGACTAAGCTCTGGAAACTGCCCTCCTGCATGGGCATTTCACTATTACCTGTCATGCATTAAAACAATTAAAATAAGCTCTCAAGAACACAAAACTTTAAAAATAAACAAATAGACATCTAGTTCAATATGAATCATGCATACCTGTGGTTACTTCGGTCTGTGGTTTATATAAAACGGAGACATGCAAAGTTTCAGGATTCACACATAGCAGAAAACCTTCCTTGCAACCAACATACAGGTCAGAAGAAATTGACCAGCAGATGGCACTAGGACACAGTCTAGGTTTTATTAGTTTCAAAGGCTGTAAAGGACAGAGACAATGTATGATTAGAATAAACATTTTTAAAGGAGAATGCGAGTTTTTATTATATTGTAAATGTAAATTAACATTTCATAACTGAAACTTAATATTTCATAAATAAAAGATATAAAAATCATTATTGTTGTATGTAAACTTGAAATTTTAAAGTTAATTAATGTTAAGATAAAACTTTTCTTAGAATTGCAAGTTTACAAAATAGAATATCTTAATCTAGATGTAAACTGAATTAAAATAAAGTGTAATACACTGTAAAAAAAAACTGGTTGCCTTAAATTTAAGCTGAATCAACTTAACCTTATGAGTACACTGAACTTATAATATGTTAAACTGACTTAAAACAGCTTGTGCAAAATTGAAAACTTAGTTTAATAAGTTACAATGAATTAAAAACATATGCTGTAATAACTAATTGTTCATATAATTTTGTACAGTGTAGCTGAGTTTATATAATTTGCAATTCTGTGAAGAAAAGTCTCTCTCAGTAGTTAAATATTTATTTGCGCTTGCAATATGAAATAAAAGTCACATTTTCCTTTTTAAATTTTTATTTTATATTACTTTCAACAAAGGAAATTGCATTATAATATCCAGATTTTTAATATTGAAAACAGTATTACTAAAAAAAAAAAAAGATTTCAAATAATTGTACAACATTAATAAATATTCAGGAGATATCTACACAAAAATACACTACTAAAGATATAGCTTATACCACAAAGTTGTCAGCTTGGTCTCCAATCAGTCCAGCTATTGCTGAAGTGGGCATTTGAGGACCTAAGTATGTCAGCTTCCCATTGAGTAAATGAGACTGATTTGGTTCACACTCAATAGCTGACCCATCAGTGCCAGGGAGATTGACAGCACTGCCAAGCAAACATAAAGAAAGGGTAACGTGGACAATAAATTATGCCTGTGCATTACTATCATTGGTACAGTATATGTAATCCATGTGCAAATAACAGTGACATCTGCTGGAGAGACACTCTACCTAGGCTTCATTAAATGGTAGTTGTCACATCTTTCAACATTCCAGATGGTTAGAGACTTTGATTTTATTGCACAAATTTGACACCAGTTCATGGGGTTAAAAACCAGTGCTGAGATGTCCTCATCCAAAAGAGAATGGCTACAAAGTGGAAGGCCACTCTCCCAGTTCCTAAAAAGTGGGTATTAGTTAGTAATATAAAACAAAAATAAATACATAAAAATAAAAAGCTATTATTTATTAAATAAAATTGCAAGTGAAACATGTATTTTACCATAACGTAATGATGTGATCAGGCATGGGTGATGCACTAACTAAATAAGGACCAGTATCACAAAGTGCCAAAGCCGTATAGCCCAGTTTAGTTGTGCCTAAAAAAAAACGGTATGAGTTTGTACCATAGACTGTATAAAAACTTTGTACCAAAACAGATTGGACAACACAGACTCCCAGATATGACCACTATGACCAGCTAAAATGTAACACACTTTGATATAGTTTCCTGTATAATGACACAATTCATACTTGTGAAAAATGTATATCATAAATGCTAAATGTCCTAAATATTTATGTATTTTTATGTTTTTAATAAACTACATTCGTTGGGTAGTGCCTTAATTTTAAATTGATTTAGTTACTTTAATCTGTAATAATTACTTTTTTTTTTACAGTGTTTCTCAAAACTTTTCCACTAACCCCCAGTACACACATCTGCTCCTCCCAAGTGTCCCTGCCCTGGACCCCAGTTTGACAACCCCTGTGCTAAAGCTGTAACTAAGCATTGACTGACCTTTTAGTTCACTTGTCAGCTCAAGCTCTGGATATTTGTAGATAAAGATGGAAGGCTTGAGTCCGAGATCAGAGAAAGCAATACACCTACGTTGCCCACTGGCTGTAAATGCTCCAATACCAGAGCCGGGACTCTGCAGCGTCTTCCTCTCTTTAGTTTCCACATTGAGGAAAACGATGAAGTTTCCGCAGGTGTAGCAAACTGTTTTCTTGTCGACAAACCTAAATGTGCCATTGGTGAATCCTTGCACCCATCTTGAAGATAATAATCAACATTAAAACAGCATTTCTGTATTTTTGTATGCCATATTGCCCTTGCAACGAATACTACAATATTTGTAACATATTTTGAGATTGGATTAAAGTTAGCACGTTGAAGACGCATTTTACCATTAGTGCTAGGTAGAGCGTTAGCATAGATAATCCTGTTTTACAGACTGGATACCTTCACAAGCTACAATTTATTTAACAGTTACGTAAATTAATCAAAGATTATCCACGCTTTTTAATCAATGGACTGTAACTCACTGAACTTCGAAGTTTCGCAGCACATCCATTTCAGCCACCATCTGTGCTTGCGTCCGTTTCCTTAGCAACCAACACCACATAACGTTAGACTTTTAACCATAGCTTTTAACACATTATTATTATTATTATTATTATTATTATTATTATTATTATTATTATTATTAAACTACTAATATATATATTATATGTTTTAAAAATTATAATGATTAACGAAATATAATATAAATTATATTGTATAACTTGACTACAGAGTTTATAGATTCAAGCTTTCGCTATTAAAATTATTACTGATTATTTTTACTGTCCGTGGATTAAAAATACCCATATAATTTATATAATAAATAGGCTATTGTAATAATCTTTTATTGTTACTAGGTAATAAAAATAACAGCCATTTCAGTAGTAGTACTACTACTACTACCAGTACTACTTCTACTATAAATAATAATAATCATCATCATCAATATTATCATTACTTTTTTGTTTGTTTGTTTCTATGTTTTTCGTTTTATCCCAGATGGCGACTTTTATTTTGAAAGGTTGTTTGGGCAGATTTTGAAAGGGAATCTGTATCGGATTCACAAAGCGTTTCAGTGGGAACCTTCCAACCTACAATGTTGGGCACAGCGTCGTGAGTAAAAAGTAATGTCTTGCAAAAGTGAAGGGACGGCGTTGTCCGTCAACTGAACGAATGGTCTGTAAATGCTTCCTGCGGCTGCTGCTAGCTCCTCGTATATGTCGTTTAACTTGACAGAAGCTCGTTTTGCCACAAGGTTTGCTTTGCATTTCATATAATTAGCCTAGTTAGCGAGCCGCGGGCGTTGGTTAGCGTGAATTGAGTCGTGTGTGCGTGGTGCTGTGGCGTCTACAATGTGTGGATTACGTGACTAGATTAATGTACCAGTCTTCTTACAGATTAATCTCACTCATGTCAGAATTTGCAGTGTAATGTACAGTAATACAGGCGAGTCATGATTTCATTTTGAGGAAGTAAGAGCTAGCCTACATAGCCTGGACAGGGAATGGGCAGGCTGTGTTTTAATAGGCTACTAAGAAAGCTTAATAGGCGTCTTAAAATAAAAAGCTGCACTTCTTCACTTGCTGCCTATGTAGAAGGCTTACTGGGTGTTAAAGCACAGCCAAACCGCCTGCTCGCTGACAGTCTGTCGTTTCCCTAAAATAGCAGTGTGTGTCTTGTGTAGCTTTCACTAATGCATGCACCCTGTTGCCATAAGAATGCAGTTATTTGCATATGTTTGTATTGTGCATTTGCATTTTCGTATAACTTCCGTGTGTGGGGGCTGTGGGTGGGTCTGTTGGACTTTGAAAACCTGTTATCTCGGTTTGCCTAGAGATTATTTATTTGTGTGTGGATGGAGGTTATGCAGCACAGGCTGATCTGATTATATGTTTGCAATCAGGGCACTAGTTTGTGTTATAAGCTGATCTTTTGTCACCTAAATTGATTGTTTATCCATATCCAGAGGATCAGCTTAACATTCCCCTTTGTCTCCGTGCAGGTGAGTGCAGACTGAGGGATAATGGCACATGTTGGGGCAGTTGTTGCTGCTATGGCCGGTCTAATGGCCATTCTGCTTCATTCTTCCATACACAAGATCGAGGAAGGACATTTAGCTGTGTATTACAGGTGAGTTTGAGGAAGTTGGATTGCAGATGCATTGATATTTTTTTTCTGCCGATGTTATTAATTTGTAAAACACTTATAAAAGGCTAAAGACAATATTGTGTGCTTTTCACTGAAATCATAGCGTACCTAAAAATGAACATTCTGTCATTTACTCAACCTCATATTGTCTCAAAACCTGTTCGGCTGACATTTTTTCCATGTGGAACATTTTTTTTATTTTATTTTATTTTTTTTAGAAATTCAAACAGCGACTTACAATTTTGATCCAACAAACATTCTCACAATAAGTGACAATAAAACCTGCAATATACAAACAATACTTACAGAAATATCCTGATAAAAGATTAATACAATAATAACAAAATAAAACTATTTTTACAAAAAAGGAAACTAAAATTGAATAGGAAAAATATTAATAAATAAATATTACAAAAAAAAACAATAATGTTCTGTTTTTATGTAAATTACTCTAATCCTCTTCAAATGAACTATTTCTTGCAAAAATTATGTATTTAAAATAAAGTTGCCAGATTTTATAGAATTAGTCTTCTTTCTTTTTAAGGAGAGTCTGATTTTCTCCAGTTACAAATGTTATTTCATTACAACCGTCATTAGATGTATATATGTAAAGCAGCTTTCTGTTTCCAGTTTAATGATATTGACCTTGCTAGTAGACAGACAAATGGAACTATTTTGTTCTGTCTTGTTTTTAGCTATCTAGAAATCAGAAATTTCTAGAACTGCGATACAGGGATCTGGATCTATTGGATTTTGACCTATTTTTGAGATTGTTAGAAAAATATTTTCCCAGTTAGATGATAATTTTGGGCAGCTCCAGAACATGAGCCAGGGATGCCGGTTCTAGCTCACACCGATTAGATGCAGGGTCCACTTCTGAAAATGTCTTACTAGTTTTTTTTTTTTTTGTTCGGATCAATGTGGGGACATAATATTTTGACGTGTTTTCGTGTATGTGTGTAGTGTGTATATGCGTGTGCTGGATTATGAAGACACCAAATTGTAAAATGACATGGGTAAGGTGGTTTATAAAGACACCCCTTGTGCCCAAATAATTCAAAATGTGTGCATTTTGAATATATAATGAAAGTCAGTAGTTATTAGCAGTCTTCAAAATAACTTAATTTTTGTTCAGGAAAAAAATAAAGTTTTGCAGGTTTGAAATGACATGGGGATGAGTAAATGATGACCCAATTTTAATTTTGGGGTGAATTATCATCTTTATTCTAACAATTTTTACAACACTATGCACATGAAGATAACATTGCTGCCATATTTATAATGTTTTTTTTTTGACAGAGGAGGAGCTTTGTTGACCTCTCCAAATGGCCCAGGTTACCATATAATGCTGCCTTTCATCACTTCTTATAGATCAGTGCAGGTACGACTGTCATTTATTTATCATTTGGTCTAATTATGAAGGAATTATGGCTTTGTTTAAAGCTGTAAATTGATGCTAATTTTATATTAATTTATTTATAAGGTTATCTAATATTTTGCAATTAGCAGATGCTTTTATTTAAAGAAACTCATTTTAACTGAGCCAAAGATATTTATAAGGGCTTTTCACACTGTGCTTACACCTTATATGGCAAAAGACCATTTCACACTTTTTATTTAGTATAGCAGTACTTCTAAGCCAAGTTAGTTCTGCATTTACACTGTCAACCACCTCATTGTGGTGCCAAAATTAATTTATAAAATAATATAGTGTTCAAATACTACAGCTAAATGCACAGTAACCGACATCCTATCATGTGACTCCTATTCACATGCTTTGGAAAGTCACAAAAGCAATGTGTGTTGTATAGTCTTGCATTTTCAAGGAAAGATGTGAAGCTGTGATGGAAAATCACAACTGGAGTCAAGGAGAAACCAGTATTCCATTTATTTTCTGAAAAGTTAATTAAGGAAAAAACTGATAGTTGTTGTCAACATATAATTAGGATGCAAATGTAAAAGGATGTGTGGATGTAAAACGGACATGTGCCTCATTTATGCAGTCAATGACACTGCAAATATGCAAATCATTGATCTTATCCCAGGATTTAGGAATTTACAGTGTGAAACATTAGTGTATGAATAATACGCAGTATGAGTTGTTAATCCTAAGTAAATTATGAGAAGTGTAAATTGTGCCACAAGATAACTTAAGATTGTGTTTATCTGGGGTTTGGAATTTAAAGGGGTAATTCACCTTAAAATGAGAATGTACTCACTGTTTACTCACACTCAAGAGGCTCCAAACCTTTTTGAGTTTTATTTTTTCTGTTAAACCTAAAATAAGATATTTTGAAGAATGTTAGTAACCACTAACCATTGACCTGCATCGGAAAAACAAATACTATGGACATCAATGGCTGCAGGTTTCCAACATTTTACAAAGTATAATCTTTTGTGATCAACAGAAAAAAGTAACTCAAGCAGGTTTATGAGGGCTGAGGAAAATGATGACAGCTTGAGTTTTATAGTTTTGGGTGAACCATCCTTTTATGTGTGAATACCAGGATTATTAGAAATGTTTGTTGAAGACACTGATCTTTTTTCCCCTTCATCTTTATAGACAACTCTGCAAACAGATGAAATAAAAAATGTGCCTTGTGGAACTAGGTAAACTTTTCTGTTGTTATTTAATTGAACAGGTCTTAAAACAACTGCTTAAAATGGAAAAGTAATGTCATAATTGTGTATAGGATATTTTCTAGTACTCCAGAATGAACAATTTCTCTGTTGTCTCGTCCACAGTGGGGGTGTAATGATCTATTTTGACAGAATTGAAGTGGTCAACATGCTCATTCCAACCTCAGGTAAGACTCTTAACAAGAGAGTTTACACAACAAGGGATGGTCCGTCTTTATTTTTTCCACCTTCAATCTTTTTTTCCAAACCTGTATAACTAGCTCGGTTTTCATTTGCCTGTTTTTATGCACATTTTGGAATATTACATGAAAAATGCATAATGAAAACATAAAGATGTGAACACAATTTTTAAATGCACTAAAAACATACGTGCACATCTGAGTAGGATAAACGTTTTATTCAGCAAGACTAGATGATGAAAACAATAAATTCCAGCAGGTGCAACAGATTATGTGATAACAAAAAATGGGCAGGATGAAACAACATTTATGGACCAACCAGCAGACCATCTGAAATGTTGTTTTGGTCATTTTAAAATCCCTTAGCCAAAGTCTGTCTTTAAAGTGGTTCAGTACACTGCAAAAAAAAGCTTTTCTTTCAACAATGTTTCTTATATTCTTTGTCTTGTTTCTAGTCCAAACGGGGTGAGTAATGTTGTTTTTCCCTTTTACAAATGATTATTTTGCTTACCCCATTTAAGCTAGAAATATGATGATATGTTTTGCTTGTTTTAAAAATGCTTTTTGATTTTAAGAAATTTTAAATATTTTGACAATAACACAAAAAATCTTAAGAAAAGCCTTTTTTTGTTGGGTATTATTACCTCCCAGTCTTGAGCGGCTGCACTCCTAAAGAGTGGTTCCGTGCCTCCAAAAGCCACACGTTCATTCCATTCTTTTCAGTTTTTGTCATTGTTTATCTTCATAGGTGCAAGTAATTTATTATATAAGAAAAAGGCATGAGTCTAATTAGAAGTCAGTAGCTGTTTTCATCCAAAGATGCTGTCTGTAGAATGCTCTGTTTACATATACTATTAAGAAGTGCTTTCATCAATCCAATCAGAAGCAGATGACACTAAATATAGGTGTAAACTGAGTTGAGGGCCACTTCCAGAGGTAGTCAAAAAATGCATTAGATTGATTGCTTTCACAAAATAACACTTATACTTTATGGTTGAATCCAATCTAACAGCCACACTAGCACATTGTCTACAAACGTGAAATGATGAGTAAATAAAGTATCTATATGTCACTGTATTGTACAAAAACACATGGTTTATAATCAGTCATTCACATCCTATTCATTTTCTTACATTTCCACTCACCATAAACTGTAATATGTAATATTTTTTCAGTTAACTCAACTGACCACTTTCCAATGCCTAAATTAGATCATACATTTGTCCTCTTCCTTCACAGTGGTGGATATAGTGAGGAATTACACTGCAGATTATGACAAGACGCTAATCTTCAATAAAATTCACCATGAGTTAAACCAGTTCTGCAGTGTGCACACACTACAGGAAGTCTACATTGAGCTGTTCGGTAAGTCACCGATAAGTCAAACAGTTTATTCTGCTAAGTGTACTGAACTTTCTGTTGTTTATGTGAGCCCTGTTTCTGTTGTGTCACTGGTTTCATATTTGGCGCCTTTTTACTTGATGAACATTGGTCTTGAACTGGCATTTGTGTTGTTTGTTTTATGACAGACATAATTGATGAGAACTTGAAGACTGCACTACAGAAGGACTTGAATTGTATGGCCCCTGGTCTCACCATTCAGGTATCATTTTTTTTTATATTGCTATTTTTTAATAAGGTTTTAGTTTTGATTTATTTAATTCTGTGTTAACATTTGCAGGCCGTGAGAGTCACCAAACCTAAAATTCCAGAGGCAATCAGAAGAAATTATGAGCTCATGTGAGTTCATATATTGTTCTGTCCATATTACATATTTGTTAAGTCTTTTTAAATCACACTTTTATTTGAAAAATATTTTGATAACATTTAATATACATTATGCATAAAAAGTTTTTATGCTAAATAAAAAGAAGTTTCTCATTGCTCGTCAAAAATGTAGTTGAAAAGAGAATATTGTGAAATATTAAAGTTTAAAATAATATTGGTAAGACATTTTTATATGTTTTTTTTTGTTCTTGTGATTTTTCAGCAACTATTTGTTCTGTTCTCAGTGTCACACAATCCCTAAAAAGTCATTCTAATAGGCTATTTTGATTTTTAAGGAAGATTTAATTATTATTTATTAACAAACAGTATCATTATCAATGTTGAAAATAGTGTTTTCACAATTTTTAAATAGTTTTTCATAGGAACTAATTAGGGATGCTCAAAATAATCGATTAACCGTTAACCGAAAGGGTGCGTTTGTTATCGATTAATGCTATCAGTTAAACGATTAAAATTATTATTTTATATAGTTTTAGTTTGGCTGCATAAGGGGCCGATTGAATGCGCCTTTGCGTTAAGAGGAGCATCTTTTGTGCGCGGCTCATCCCAGAGCAGCAGTTTGTGTTGTCAAGACAACTAGAGAGAACTTTTAAAGAGCTTGGTTTCCGCTACATTCATTCTTCCATGGCGGGGACCATAATGCTTCCCGCCACAGCTACATACCCATTCAAAACATTCAGTTATAGTTGTTTTTGTTTTTAATAGCGGATTATAATCGCATCAAAACGTATTAAAAGGAAAGTGAATTATAACAGCGCAAACTTCTCTGTAACCGTATAGTGCTGTGCGCTATCTGTTTAATCCTTTGGCGTTACGTGCTGACTGACTGACTGACAGGTGCATGATGCGTGAGGACAGCAAACACGCCGAAGCTTTCAGTTAAGATGAACACTGTTTCTATAGTTATACTTTATTTATAGATAAAGTATGACTCTGCATATAATCACTCTATCATGCTGGAGTTTATAGCCGTTTCGCTTTACTTCAGGATGCATTAACACCGCTCTGAAGGTCTAATCGCTGTTTTAAGTTATCCAGAGCTGTATGAATGTACAAATCTTCAATATCACAATATTATCAAATATAAAAATTGTAACAACATAGACAGCAACACTTTTGCTCAATCGATACCCAGCTGATTCAGTCGTTTCATAAGAGGGCTGCACTTCTCTTCTTTTTTCCTTGTCAACATAAAGGCAGTAAGGTGCGCCTCGCGTTTTTGGAATGAAAAAAGCATGTTAGCTGTGGTTGGCCACTTGTTCAACTGCAAGAAATAGGCCTACTTAACTTGCGGGACGATAACGTATAACCCGTGCCTACAGACACATTTGCCAAAGAAGCAAAATGGAAGAAGAATATTGCTGTTTGAAACAGATGTGTTGATGCCAAACCAGCGCTTATGTTGACCTGGATCTGCGTCATAAACGCAACAAATAGGCTTTACCTTTATTTTACAGCTTATAAAGCATGTATGCACATTAATGCAATATCATATTTAAAAAACAAAACTGTTTACAAAAAGTCAACATATGCGCGCGTTGTTGTCTTTTTATCATGCAGCGTGCACTTGAACCGCGAAGGAGAGAAAGGAAACCATATAGCAAGACATAATCTTTAAAATAATGATTTCTATTAAAAATGTAAAAAGGTTTTGTGATTATTATAATACTAACAGCGGGGCATTTAATAAATGCATATTTTCCGTGGAGCGAGCAATTTGAGGAAGTCAGCTTTTTTATTTGACAGAAGACAAAAATATGATTGGAAAAAAAAACAGCCTATATGCCGGTTATTAAAAAATTATCAGTCAGTGTTTTCGATTTGAAATATAAATTAATTATTTAAATGGAAAATAATTTAGGGCAGTCCTATTTATTTTATTCATTTTATTTAGTTTATTCTGCTCTTCTGTGCTAAACACTGCAGGTGCGTGAAAATGCTCTGTTGTATTGTTCTATTATTAATATGCTAGCATATAAAAATAAATCAGTATTTTATGCAATTTTTAATGTGTCAGACACAAAATAGACACGTCAATTTGTTTAATATAAAATTAATAGTAATCTGACCAGTTAACCGTTAATAACCGATTAATGAGCGGCGGTTGTCGGTTAGCAAAATGAAAAAACCGAAATGAGCATACGAACTAATACTTTTGTATAAATATAAAAAAATTAAGGATTTTCTGGTGAACGGAAGATTCTAACAATCAGCTTTTATTTAAAATGTACATTTTTTCATAAACATTATTTGGAACTTGTGTAACATTACATTTAGAACAAAATGTTCCTGAACTCTGGGTTGAATTTTTTTAGTGTGCTGAAAACCACCAGACATCTTTATAAGCTGTTCTTGGATGCATCTGTCTGTCATTTTAATCAAATTTGTACATCTGCAGGGAAGCAGAGAAGACCAGGCTGCTCATCACCGTTCAGACACAAAAAGTGGTGGAAAAGGAGGCAGAAACTGAAAGAAAGAAGGCCATCATAGGTCAGTCTAGGCATCCAAATATACTGCCGATCATGTCTAGTGTTCTGTCTTCATTCGTCTTGTGTGTTGCTCTTGCTTTAGAGGCTCAGAAAGTGGCTCAGGTGGCAGAGATTCAGTTCCAACAAAAAGTGATGGAGAAGGAAACTGAGAAAAAGATCTCAGAAATTGAAGGTCTGGTTTGTCTACTTTGTATTATCACAGCATGTCACAAAATGTGGTTAAAAATAATAATTTACCAAAATGTATATATGTGCACAGCACAGTTCGTATTTACAAAATCCATTTTGCAACACAGTTCATGAATTCAGTAGAGTACATAAATGTTTCCATAATTTGATCCAACAATGTAAGTTGAATGGTTGCCAATGATGTCATTTAATTACTTAATATACAATTTTAGTCAACAATTGGTTTAAGAAAACATGAAAAACAAAATGGATATTTTTGCTCTTTTTTTATTTTTTTTGATATCAATAATTCAATTGTTCGCATCAACAGTTAAAATTTTTTTACATCAAAAATTGGATTATTAATATTAAAATGTAATTGTTTATATTAAAAATGAAAACAAGCTGAAAACGTATAATTTTTTAATGTTAAAATGATAGTAAATGCAGTTTTAATGTTCATTATTTTATTTTATGACGAATGAGCTTTTGTTATTTGGTGCCTGCAGAATAGCACAGTGTCCAACCGTTCGCAATCTCTTACTCATGCTGCCTCTGCAACTGGCAGATCTTGCCAGCCGGTCGCAGAATAGTGTGGGTTATCTCAAACAAGCAGATGTTTGGTATTACAACTGCATGCTCGAAATGCACAGTGCATTCATACAGCTAAAGGCTGATTTATACTTCTGCGTCAAACGCCGGCATAAGCTACAGCGCTGACGCATAGCCCTTCGCCATCGGCGTCGCTGACGTGCACCTCTCAAAAAATGTAACTACACGTCGCAACGAAGCGTAGCACAAGCTCTGTGATTGGTCGGCTTGGTAGCGCTAACGAGTCTGGGTGGGACCGAGAGCCGCGTGAATAGTGCGAGCCTGATGGAGCGATTGTTTACAAGTGTGGAGTCCCGTGAAGGAGCTCCGGATGGAAAGTTTTGTTTTGTGTTTACCTCATAGTTAAAGTTGTTGCACGTCCGCCGGTTCCTGCCTCAAAATGAGCGAGTTTGAGCCACTTGTACATCCTAGAAGTGTTCAGGAAACCAAAACAGCAGTGAAGAATCTTGACACAGAGGAACATTTACACCTCACTGCCAACTAGCGTTTCAGAAGTGTTAATGCAGACCAACAGAGACAGCGCGCAGAAGTATAAATGCACACCTACGCGCGTTGCATGCGCCGTGGGTAACGACGGTCACTTGACGCAGAAGTATAAACCAGGCTTAACTTCTTCCATGCTTTACAGATTACAGACATATTCTATTATAACGACATTCCATTTGTCCTAATGGGTGTGGAAGAGTTTGAAAACCTGGCATGTACATCCTGATCAAGTAAAATGACATGATAATAAAATTGTTACAACTTGCTGCATGCGGTGTACAAGCACAAAGTGGAGTTTCTTGAGTCTGTTCAGTAAGAAGGGTTCATTCATTTTCTTGTCGGCTTAGTCCATTAATTAATCCGGGGTCGCCACAGCGTAATGAACCACCCACTTATCCAGCAAGTTTGGATGCCCTTCCAGCCGCAACCCATCTCTGGGAAACATCCACACACACTCATTCACACAAACACACACACACACTTATACACTACGGACAATTTGGCCTACTCAATTCACCTGTACCGCATGTCTTTGGACTGTGGGGGAAACCGGAGCACCCGGAGGAAACCCACGCGAATGCAGGGAGAGCATGCAAACTCCACACAGAAACGGCAACTGAGCCGAGGCTCGACCCATCGACCTTCTTGCTGTGAGGCGAACGTGCTACCCACTGCGTCGCCCCTCACCATGATTGGCTAATCAAAATATCATCCAAAAAATATTTATGAATCATATCCTGCCAGGAAGGTCTCAAAAATACTGCACACAAGTTCAAAGAACTTCATGTATGCATGACTATTTTCAAATGCATATTCAGTGCCTAACATATTTTATTAATGTGCGGTGAAAATCTGTTTAAGATCATGCTATATACATATTTACATAATACATAAGTATTAAAAACGTATTTAGGTAACATGCATTTATGTGCATTGGGGAAATATTTATGCCTTTTGAATTTATGAATTGTGTTTTGAATTTACAAATGCATTGCTGTGCACGTTTAAATTTTATTTTGTAAATGTTTTATTTATGAGACTGATCTAGATGCATATTTATCAGATTTGTTGATTTTCTTTTAACAGATGCTGCTTTCCTGGCGAGAGAGAAGGCACGAGCAGATGCTGAATATTACACCGCTGCAAAATTTGCTGAAGCCAACACGGTAAATAAACCACAACTACAATTTAACAAATCAGATTTTTTGTTGTTGCTCTGTTTGTGTGTTTGTGTTTTAGTACAACTTATGGGGCTAGATGTTTAGTAATACATGCTTGCGTTTAAAACCTGCCAACATTTTCTAGAAAAGATGTTGCACCTGACTTTCTCCAGTTCAAAGTTGGGAAAATGAAAGGATACTGATAATTCAAGTTTTTCTATTCACATTTTAAGAAGATATGTAAAATGGGTTAGTAGTAGCTCTAAAATAATGTAAAACATGTACTGAAATGATAGACATTATTTTAGTTTCCCTCACTCCGAAATAGAGGGTTTTATTTAAACTGTATTTAGAGTAGTTAAATTAATTGAAACTCTACATATATGTGTCCCTGAGCCACAAAATGTTGTGTTGTATGAGTATGTATTTGGCAGTAGCCTAAAATACATTTTAAATTACCAAAATCATTACAATATTCAGTAAAGATCATGTTTCATGAACATATTTTGTAAAATGTCTGTCTGTAAATATATCAGCTTTTTGATTAGTAATATTCATGGCTGAGAATTTCATTTGGACATTTTTAAAGGTGATGTTATCAATTATCAGATATTTATTTAACCTTGCGATTCCTGATTTTTATATAGTTGTATCTCAGCCAAATATTGTGGATGCATAAATCCCAATTTCCAAAAAGTTGACTGGTTTTGTGATCCAGGGTCGCATATAAAACAAACAGAAGGTTTAGTGGAATTTACTGTAAACCACATCAATTATAAACATCAAGCATTTTATTACTCGTAAAGCAGAACTGAAATTTAGCATTGTCTGCGAAATGTGCTACACAAACACCTACATCTTAGTAGAAAGAAATTCAAACACTGGGCATGCATGTTTTGCATGCTAGATGTTAATTGTTTTATTTCATATTCTGGAAAATCTATTTCGACAAATGCATGAAGGGAGTTTTTTTATTTTAAAGATGTTTTAATATGTTATTAAGTGCATTAAGTTAGAGATAAAGTACATCCGCTGGGTTATCACCTCAGATTAAAGCCGGACTGGCTTATAAGTAGGCCCACACGGAATCTGCACGCTCAAAATTCCACAGATTTTCCGCAGATTTTTAGCCCATCATTGATTCTGTTTATTTGCTTTAGTAAATGTGTGTAAATCTAAGTTTATTTAGTTTTTAAATTAATTACAGTAATATTATTGACTAATATGAAAATGTTCATCTGATTAATGTCTTTTAGTAGATATATTATATGAGACTTGATAATTGGATTTGCAATTTAAACATTAAATAAAAGATGGATTACTTTTTAAGGTTTTAGTTATGATACTCCCAAAATAATTCCGCAGAAATCCAGATTTTAAGCAAAATTCTCAGCAGAATTAGCAAAAAATGTCAGCAGATTCCGTCTGGCCCTGCTTATAAGCAGTCTGACGCAAAGACTCAAGGGCTTTGTTTCTGTAAAAAACAATCCTCCTGGATTTACTTTATGCTGCTTATTGCATGGCTACTTGCCACAAAACATGACAATAAGACTTTAATTAAACTGACAAAAACTAAAACAGCTAATGGACTATACACTAACTTGTACATTATTATTCAGTCACAAGATGCTGCCAGACAGTCCAAAAAATTATGCTGACAGAAGTGAAACCGACTGAACAAACCATGTACCAAACTATACATTATTTATTCAGAAGATGTCGCCAAACAAGTTTAAAACCACAGCAGTACAAACAAGGAGATCTATTTAAATGCAGATTTAAGGATTTGAACTTATTCACTGACGCTCAACGATTCGAAGATCCCATATGAGCCTGTATTATTTGTTAACTCTGAATAACATACCTTGGAATGTCACGACTGACCAATCAGAATCGAGTATTCCAGACAGCCGTGTTATAACTCTGTTTAACGTACAAGTTTAAATCAGACACTTAACTGTTGCTTTGTTCACTGTTTCTAAATTACATACACCAGTCTAGTCTGATAAATTGATTAAAAAAAAGAAACTTAATAAAACCACATACTGAAGTACTTTTTTTTTCAGCTTGCACAAACCTCAAACATCATTCAAGCTATGCTATGTTACGAAAGCTCTTCTAGGAGTCTGTAGCGTCTACCTTGAACACACGAAGGCACATTCCACACAGGACTAGCTCAGATCGTTCATCAGACACTTCTCTGTCTCCCTCCTCCACAGCTCAAGCTCACGCCAGAGTATCTGCAGCTGATGAAGTACCAGGCCATAGCTGCCAACAGCAAGATCTACTTCGGTCAGGACATCCCAAACATGTTTGTAGACAGCAGTGCCTCCCGTCCGGCCGCAGGAGAATCCGAGCAGCTGGAGTCCTTGAGCATGAGAGAGAGTCTTAAGAAAGCGTCCAAGCCCAAAGCCTCAGAAGGCCACTGAAGGGCCTGAGATCTGTCCACCCCCTTCTTCCTCTCTCTCTTTCTCTCTCTCTCTCATTCTCTGTCTCTTGTTTTGGGGCAGGGGTGCTTGTGAGGCATGCTGACATGGATATTTTCCCTCTTCTGCTGCAGTGGTGTTGGGTGCTTGGCTCGCTGAGGAGACTGACATACAGAGCCTTTGGTTTTCCAGCAGTCATTAGTGGACTAAATGGTAACGTCCAGCAATTGTGCTATTGATTATCGCCAGATTCGAAGCTAAAATGTTCCTGTTTCACATCAGCATGCTTTCTTCCCCCCTTTTTTTGTTGCTCAGCTTTCTCTTCTCTTTTACAGATCCATGCTAATTATTTGTTAGATGCAGATGCGTCTGCGTAAAGTATGTGAACATTTGGAGGTTCATCTTTTGTGTTGTCTTTTGAAACTGGAATTATAAGGCATCACACTAATTAGAAGGCAGTGAGTGGCTTAAAGGGATAGTTGACACAAAAGATGTTTTGAAGAAAGCTGAAAACATGTAACCAATAACATTCCATAGTAGGAACAACAAATACTATGGAAGTCAGTGGCTACCAGTGTCCACCATTTTTTGGAACTCAAAAAGGTTTTCAACAAGTAAATGATGATTGAGTTTTGCGTGAACTATCCCTTTATATATCTACAATATGATCAAACTCATTTTGCAGCCAAACTGTCATCTTCTTTTTTTCATATGTTGTTAAAGGGATGTTTCACTACACCTCTAAATAGTCATCATTTGTTCATCCTCAAAGCGGTGATGCTTTCTTTTGTGGAACATGAAAAGATAAACTACATTTTTCAATATCTTTTTTTTTTTTGTCCATACAGTGCAAACCAACAGTCTCCAATGTTGAACTTTGCTTGGATCACTTTGGTTTTAATTAAATGGACAAAAATAATTAAAAAATAATAACTTTGTTTCCAAAATAAGTTAAATCCAGTCTGGAATGATGTGAGGATGAGTAAGCAATGACAATATTAAATGTTGGTGAGTAGTCCTTTTGCAAAAGTGCTCATGTCCATCATCACTAACTTGATAAGCACTAAAATCTTAATTTAGTTGAGCCAAGACTGCAAAGATCAGCGGCTTTTATATGTTATTAATTATAATTCTGATTATTATATGTTTGTAAGAATGATCTCATTTTAAAATCATCCCTTGCTTGAGTTTTGTTGGTCTTCAAGATGAAGATTTTTGACATCATTGACGCCTGAATACTTTTGTTGTGAATTGGATTTCATGTAATGTCAGAAATAGTGGGTTGTGGTATAGTGTTGTGTAGCATGTTCATTTGTGGCGGCCCTGTGGATTTTTCAAGTTGTTGGGTTCATACTGAACAGGGTTTCATACAATTTCAGATTTCATTTTCCAGGGCTTTGACAAGCAATGAGATTGGATTGCTTTCGGATGGTCGTGTATATATAGTGTAGTGACTAACAAATGCCTTTCTGACTTTAGTTGAACTTGTTTATTTGGTCATTACTGGAATGAGTTTATTTCAAAGGGAATTCAGTAACAATAAGGGCTGCTGTATTATTAGGCACTGTCAAACATTTAGCATTATGATGAGCGGGTGTTTATACTGAGAAGTGTCACCACTAGGGGAAGCCAGTGATCTTCAGGAACTACAAGAGTAGGCAACAAACAGTTAAAAAACGTTGTGGTTTAGCTTTTCTTGGAAGTTGTCAAATCTGTATAAGTTGCAGTCATATGCCAATAATAGCAATGCATTGCATCAAATCATTTCGAATAGCGTCTGTCAGTACTATCTCAGGAAAAGAGACCTGCGTGTTAACTTGAATGGCCTGTTTTTTTCTTTCTTAGAAAACAATATAAACTTGACTGAAATTTGAGTCGGGTGTCAGTTTGTGTTGATTGTGTGAATCTGTCACACGACATGTTGATTTTTCATCATTTGCAGACTGGTCGATTAAAGAGATGAGCACTGATTTAATACAGTTAGTCCGATTGTTGATGCTACATCCTGTTGCTTTTGCCATTTTCCCTTTTAAAGGGATAGTTCACCCAAAATTCTGTCATTTACTTGTGCTCCTAATTGAGTTTGTTTCTTCTTTTGAATACACAAATGAAGAAACACTGAGGAATGTTGAAATAAAACAGCCATTGAATTCCATAATAGTTTTTTTTTTTACTATGGATTTCTGTGACTGCTTTCTCCTCTCAACATTCTTCAGAATATCTTGTTTTGTGTTCAACTGAAGATAGAAATTCCTAAAGGTTTAGAACCACTTAAATGTGAGCAAATGATGAGGAAACGTCAATTTTTGGGTGAGCTATCCCTTAAGTTTGACTTTATCCATGGTTTTGCTTTAGAGTGTGAATATGACTGTCTTAAAGCGATGTGTTCCCTGTGGTTGTTAAATGGAGAGAGGACAGACTTTGACTGCCCTGGAATAAACCCACTCTGTGAATGTCACTTTTTTATGTCAGCGTAATTTAAGCTCCTAATTTTAAAACATTTATATGCAAAATTTATAAAATTTTGACAATGTTCAATTCTGTGAAATAAAACCTATTTTGATACCATGAAAACGACGCTTGTGTGATCATATTCCTTCACATTAGGGAAGTGCACTTCATGTCCTATTAAGGAAGTGTTTCACATAGCTTTATGTCATAGATTGTGTCACGATTAATTGTGTTGTAGTTTGGTTTGAGCTATTTTCCAAGAAATATAGAGGAATAGGAAATAGATCTCATCTTTCATATGTAAGAAGTGCGGTATAAAAATATAAATTTAAGTATATGCCAAACTTGGCCCTTGGTTTTTGTTGCCTGCTTGACGGAGTGTGAGAAAGTCTCACTGTTGTTTGTGTATTTGACCCTAGACAATCAAACCAGTCTTAAGTTGCATGGGTTTATATAAGAGTAGCCAACAATGAAATATACCAGTAAAAATTATTAGAATAAGACATGATCATGTTCCAATTTGTAAATTTCCTATCATAAATATATCAAGACATACATTTTGATTAACAATATGCATTGCCAAGAACTTTCTTGCAAGAGTTGTCAACAGTTTCTTCTGTTGAACACAAAATCCACTTGAATAGTATTTTTTAGTACAGTATAGGATAGTATTGACTTCAATAGTATTTTTTTTCCAAAGTGAACTATTTCAGATTTTTAACAAAAAAGCTACTCACAAAGGTTTGCAAGCACTTGGGGGTGAGTACATTTTCATTTCTGTGTGAACTGTCCCTTTCATTTTAAAGATAATTTTCTCAATATTTACATTTTTTTTTTCTTAAGCCCTTTAATTCTGGACACTAGAATAGTTGTATATTGGCCAATTATTGTCCTGTCCCCAAAAAGCAGTTAGAGTTTATTCTGTTGAACACAGAATAATATATAACGAAGAAAGCTGAAAATTTAAACCGATTTAAACAGAAAAAAGAAACTTAAAGGTTTGCAACCACTTGAGGTAGGTTACATTTTGATTTCTGGGTGAACTATACCTTTCATTTGTTTATTTTAAAGGTAGTTTTCTCGATGTTTAGATTTTTTTAACACTAGAATAATTGTATCTTGGCCAAATATTGTCCTATCCCCAAAATCATACATTTACAGAAAGCTCGTTTATTCAAATTCAAAACAGGGACCCCTATGAGTGATTTTGTGGTCCACGCAGGATCACATGAACCGTTTTTAGATGCTTATATGTTTTTATATAGTTATTAACAAAGGGGCCTCAGGATGATTTTTTGAAAATGGTACTCAAAATTAATTAATGAATTAATTGTCTAACTAGTTTTCTAGATTTATTCCACAGAATATCTTTAAGTTGGAAAACTCGGTTACAAATTTTTCTTTAAATGAAAAGTGGTTTTAAAAATTACACCTATATAAAAAAAAATCTTAGCAGGTATATTAGAAACTAACTAGGTCATATGATCAAGAACAGACATTATCATATAAACAAGAGCATAAACACCAGCGTGATCTAGGCCATGTCCACATGTACATGGGTATTTTTATAAAAGTTTAATAAAAGTTTTTCCGATGCACTGTGATACATTATAAGGGCAGGCCGAACCAACAGGTGGCAATAATGGCACTTTTGTCTTGTTCACATCAAACGGGGAATTAAGTACATTTCCCGAATAAATAGCATTAAAGTCAATGCAAACATGAGTACGTGAATGAGTCTGTTCATGGTCCTGTGGTTGAACAATACGAAATATGTTATTCATTTGCCTCAAATGTGCAGAATTTGCCTTATTCATGTGTTTAATGTTTGGTTTGGACCCAGCCATTTTTGCCAATCTAAGAGGAGAAAAACAGCCAGCATGCTGATGTCGTAAGGCTAAAACTCTGGTTTTAGCATCCACACTTTTTGGAAAATCTTCACCCTGGCTGGAGTTTTAAGAAAGTTGTGGTTTCCATCATGAAACATTTTCGTGTGGACAAACCAAGTAGAAAAAAAGTGTGGTTTTGAAAATACCAGTGTTTGTGTGGACAGGGCCTTAGGGTACTAACAAACTCAGCCAAGGATAATCAGGCGTGGGTATCTTATTAATTAGGTGCAAAAAATGTATTAAAGGTGCATTGTCATGTTTACCACTAAAGGGCATGTAGTTACAACAAACAAAAGCATAGTTTGTTGCTGCATGACTGAGTGTGGAATCATGGGAGTTGTTGTCTTCTACATCCTATGAGACTCCTGCTGTAATGTTCATGACTGAGCTATTCAAAACTTAATAGCATGGTAGTAGGAAGCAGAGTAAGGCTGAAAGCCATTGAAGCAAAACAAGATTGAAAACATTGGAGTCGACTGCTTCAGATTCTTCTGATCATAATCATGGAGAAGCAGCAGTGCTGTTTTATTAAACTAAAAACATTTAAGGGTTCTTACAGTTCTACTGCGCGATGATCTAATAAAACACAACATATTTATGTGTCTTTGGAGTTTCCTTGTTTTAAATAAAACAAAAAAGGAAATCAGGGGTATATGACATCATTAGCATAGTGACAGGAAACACCTGCGTCACTACTTCAAATAGCTTATTTCTTTGGATTTGGACATACTTTAATACGTTTGCAATAATGTGATTGCATAAGTCAGCAAAATATAACACTGTTCCAGTGGTTTTTGGACAAATTTAATAAAAATCTTACACTTTGTGCCTTTAAGAAATTTGTATTATTATATTTTGAGCATTATATTGTATACATGTACTATAAATAGCAGTATAGTAAATGGAACAGTATTTTTTTTTTTACTGGAGAAGAGGGATTAATCTGGCCCATGATGTTAGTCTGTCTGGCCTAGTGTTTTCTAATAGTGCAATAGAGATATATTTGCTTTTATCTTCAGTCCTACAACCCGTTTGGGGAATAATCTGATAGTCCTTCAGTTTTTCTCCAAGCACAACTCATCAAGTTGATGAACAATCCCAACAGGCAGTTATGACCCACATATTAGTGTTTATTCTGCAAATAAACTCAGAGCGTCTCAGTCAGTGGTATTTGTCCAAGCACAGGAAATGTCAAGAACTCTCATCTCCAACTAACAAATGAGCCTGCTTCAACTTTTTGATACTGGACACAGACTTACTAACAGTGCGTGAAGAAGGACAAAGGAAGGAAACAGTCACTGACGGAAGTGGGCAAAAAGGTCTTCAGCTGACCTTACGAAGGGAACAGAAGCTCAAACTCCCTCAGGACCTCCTGAGCGAATATCAGCCATTTAGATCAGCTTCTGTCACCAGACCAAGTCAATCCCCAGACACAAACCCATTTCCTCTTCCGGAAAGGCAATAAAGGTGACCTTAGAAGGTTTTGCATTTAAACTTTTAGGGTGATTTACACAAAGTGTTTAAGCTTAGAAAAATAAGAAGTCTGCTGTCAGGAAGTAGGCACCGCCTCAAAGTCACCTTCCAGAACCTTTTCATTATCTGTTCCTTGCTGGTGGAATATCCCCAATCCCAAACAGACTGCTGAATCTCTTGTAATGTGCAACGGGCAACTTAAAATATCATCAAATCATGAAAACCTATTTATTTTTAATCATTTTCTATTCTAGCTTGAATTTTTCTAACAAACTCAGAAACGTCATTAGCTGCAAGTACTGATTTATTATGATAAATAACTTGAAGCCTTCTTTTTTTTTAAGTAACTTTGAATAAAAGATTTTGTTAAATGACTCAATTTTTAATGTACAAGTAAAAATGTGTGGCAGTGCAATGGGGAGAAACCAGGAGATGCGAGCACAATGGTCAAACACATTCATTTAGGGAATGACGTTTGCAGATATTTAAGAAACTTGCTAAGTGAACATTCTTTTTTTTTATTTGAAAAAACAATGCTAAAGTCAGATATTCTGTTTTGAAAATGTGCTGAGACCTCATAGCAGACTCTGAAATGAGACAGATTCAGAGTTCCACATGAGCTGCAGGTTTGCGGATTGTGGGCACTTGATAATGTCTCTGGGGGCCCCCAAAATGTGTGGGCCCTTAGATTCGTCCTAACGTTCCCCCCTAGCGGCGCCCCTGAATGTAAACATTAGGTGAACAGATTACATTGTAACCCCATGTCCTATAACTACACGCTATGTGACAAGATTTGCAGTGATAAGCAATCTGCTGTTTGCACCAGACGAAATTCGACAGAATTTTAAATACAGCCATTCCACACAGAATATGCACTCACTCACGAAATGGTAAGGTTTATAATCTAATTAATACATATTAAACCTCTTCAACATTATTAAATGATGCTGAATCCCTGATATATGTTGGGTTTCAGTTCTTGTTCATTTTCAAAGGGTTTATTTTATTTTCAAGATCAGAGGTGAACTATCTGCTGCTGCTTTCAGCAGTATGACAATAAATGTCATGTAAAATGGCTTTCAATCTCACATTGTTAGCGTTTAACACTGAATAAAGCGCATGAGGTGTACCTGTTTTTGTCTGTTTTCTGTTGTCCAGCTGCAAGAGATAGAGACCATTTCTAATATAACAATTTCAGGTGTTGGATAGAACAAAAACTCCTTTTAAATATGGAAAATATTCACTGATCTAATAGTTGTATTTAGAGTAAAATGCTAATTTGTGTTATTTTTTCCAATGTAAAATAACAATGGTAATGTGGAACTAATGTGGTAATGTTAAAAAAAAAAATATGATTTTAAAAATTCTGTTTAAAAAAAAGTCTCTAATTTAGATCTGTGCTTGTTGCCCCATACACATTTTGGATGAAGCACATATTTCCTTCCTGCTCTACTCATCGATGACACAAAGGAAGTGGCTCCACCAAGGCTGAAAGCAGGAGGTGAGCTTTTGTTTAAGACCTACATTATTGCAGACTGCATTAATAATCAGTATTTACTGTAAATATTGTTTACTCATCAAATAAACATTTGTATTAACTGCACAAAACTGACTTTAAAGTCGCTATAACAAAGCAGCCCGGAAAGAGATTTTAATGACTCCCAAATGACTTATACAGGATCACTAACACGGCCTTACTCAGCACAGGGATGAAGGCCAACTTTTCTTTCCGTCCTTCATTGACGTAGAATGAAAATAAAC